GAAAAGCAAGGCCATGCTCAGGAACCATTTTGGAACAGTCAGAGGACAATTTCCCAGTCAGTCTGGGTGACCTGGGGGGGGGGGGCCTTCTCCAGGAAAAATGCAAAGGGCAAAGTACAAGCAAAGAGGGGTACACAGGAATGTGCAATCACTCTAAGTTAAGAATTATAACTCTATCCTTGAATTCTAATTACTGACAATCCCACTGGAGGGCATTATTCAGGAAAATCTGGAAGAAATGAGACAGAGTGTATGCTCCTAAAAACTACCATAAATTTTGAAAGCCTGAAAAAAATGTAAAACCAGACACCTACATTTATTTTCTGTTTCATTGCTGATAGGCTGCAAGACCTCCTTGGACAACACCTGCTCTTCTGAAGTTGACTTTAAGCAACCTCAAGCAGTCAAGGTCAATGTATCTGCACCAGAGTGAGCAGCCTTTCCTCCATAAAGGGTTCAATTTTGGTGCACTGGAGAGGTTGAGGAAAAGGCTCTTCCTGAAACTCAGCAACTGAAAAATCTGCAGCTTCCACTTCTCACTCCTCTCTTCTGTGTTACCAGCTTGGATCAACCCTCAGGTTCCTCCCAGGGCTCTACATTAATATTTGCTGAGGTGCAGCTCGTGGATGCAGCAGGATTGACATCTCAACCTCCTTCAAAGAAGCTCTGTTCTAGAATTTGGGCTACACAATTTGGTGCCTGTAAATGTCACCTGCTGGCTAAAACCTATTTTTAGCACTTCACCAGATACATCTCCCCAGCAGAGGAAACATTAGGACTTGGGATTTACATGCCACTCATTCAGAGACTACACAAAGGCACCACTACCAACCCCAAACCCAAACACAGCCCCAATGCAATGCAGGGAAAGGTGGGGAGGGGCAGTGTGGCTGAAGGACCCCCTGAGCAGCCTCAAAGGAAATGCATTCCAAGAGAAAAGGTACCCAAACATCTTAAAGCAGCTTCCCTCCCCCTAAGACTCTTAAAACCACAACGATAATCAAAAGAGAAATATTTAATATAGAGCCCATCTACCAAAAGAGAATGAAAAAACCTAAATTAAAATAAATTTAGGGGCCTTCACCAAACTTGCTGCAAGTTTGGGGACATAAATATCCAACAGCCATAAAGCTGTGAAAGCCCCCAGAATGAATAAAATAAATCCCACTTGCCTCAGACTGAACAGGGCAACACTGAGACTCTGCCTCAGCCTGTCCTATGGCAGGGCTATAGGAAGAAGAAAAATTTAAATTTTAGAAAAAACATGACCCAATTAAGTGAAAGACATGCATTCAAAGTTAACAAAATTCCAGTGATCAAGCAAACAAAAGAAAATGACTGCTACAGCACCTCTTTGGTTAGGCCCAAACAGTATTTTTTGAACTCGGTAGCTATTTCTGAATTGGACAGTTTGTTTTGCTTTGTATCTTGATCAATGGAACGTCAGTCAGTTCTCCTGGGGCATTTTTCCCATAACTGATAGTACTTACTGTACTAGTTCATGAGAAGTAAAGATTCCATCAGCCACTGGAAATGTTCACCCTTGTCTGAGTGTTTATGTAGAAACTAGACCAGTACAATTATTAAGACAGTTACTATGAAGTGCCATCAGTTCCCATTTTAAATTGCAGCCCCAGCTCATGGACTGGTGTATCAGTCTCAATTTAACTGAAGGTCATAATGCCCTTCTTGCTGCTCCTAAAACTGATGTAATCCTGATATTTTATATTTTATCCTGCATGCAGAATTCTTTGACTCCTATAAAATAACTGTGGGTTAGAGCTCCTGTTCAATTTTATCCAGGTTTTAATAAGTTCCACAGTTGTGTGTAAGTGCTGTTCAAGAGCTCCACAGACTAAACCAGTGGCAGAACCCACACAATGCAGCTGAATGTGTTTCTAGAAGCTTGTTTATATTCTCCTATGCATGCACAGAGCGAGGAATTGTTATCCACTGTTATTAGATATTCAGCCCAGCCTCAAATTTATTATCAGCACCTAAAATCTCATCTGTGGGGGGAAAAAAAAATCCCAAAGTTTCAGAAGAAATGTTTAGTCCACATAAGCCAGCTAAATGTATTTTATCTGTTTGCCAAAGGCAGAAGCCATTCTAAAGGCAGTATGAAAGAGTCATAGCAAAACCAGCCCAGGCTTTTTCAAGGTTCTTTCATGCCAGTCTCATCCCCTTTGCCCTAAAGGCCAGGTGGTCATAACAATATTGAGACCATGCATAAAATAGTTTAGAACCTTTCAAACAAATCCTAAATGCCATAAATTCTGGCAAGTTTTTTGCTAAACCTCTTCCCACCTGTGCCTGAGATTTTCTGGTAGTGTTATTTTTTGTAATCAGCATTTGCATTACGTTGCAGTTCCAAGACTGATCAAAATGCCCTTGCAAGTGATAACTTTCCTTTAAGATCTACCGTGGCATATTTAGGCAACAGCTGAAGAACAAAGCTTCTGCCTCTGTGATTCCAGCAGCAGAGTCCTGCAGCAGCACAAGAGATGCTTCTCTGGGATCAGAAAGGTTTCTGCCACCTCCTTCCAGGGAGGCCTGTTCTGCTGGCTGTGGCACACGTGGCATCTGCTGGCACAGTGATGTTGGTTACACTCAGCACTGTAAACCAAGCCTTAGTCCTTACACAAGCCACTGTTCCATCCCTGGTAGTTTTGGGACATCTTTTTGGGTAAATGCACCATAAATCCAACTCTCTGAACATTAAGAAGCAGTATCCAAAGAAATGAAGGCAGGGACCAACAGACAACACAGGCACTGGAACAGCTGCCTGTTGACAGAGGAGTCACACGAGACACAAGAGTAACCAAAGGCAGCCACACCACAGCTCCTACAGCACAGGAATGACAGGAGCAGGACAGGGAGAATCCACAGGAAAATCATGGAAAACATTGTTCACCTGCTTCTATGTGAGTACCAATGACACACTGTGGCAGTGCTTACTCGAGGGATTATCACATAACATTACAATAAGGAAAGTCAGTCTCAAAATGTATCCAAGCTCTAAGTCTATGCAGTATTAGCTACCAGTGGTACCGTTATCAGAACAACGAGGCATTCACTGCTTGAAAGAGGGAAATTCTTAATTAATACAACTTGCAGAATATGCTGAGTTAACAGTACATGCAGTAAGGTTTGATCCCAGGAGAAGGAGGGGTCTGAAAACAACACACAGAAAGTTATGGAAAGACACCGAAGGGAGAAGGGATTCACTTGACTGGGGCAGGAGGGCAAAGCATCCTTACAGCAGCAATATGATCTCCAGGAAAAGCAAAGAAGTTCTATAGTTTTACAAGCAGTAGTTAAGATCACTTTTTATAAAGTATGAATTCGATGTGTAGTATTACAAAAAGGATAAATATAAGACACTGTAATAATCTCTCCATTGTTGTGTAATGATCCTTATTAGGTAAACAGAAGAAACCAGAGTGTAAAAGCATTGCCTGAGCAGAACAGTTTGATCTGTTAGACTTGTGTGTAAAGCAAGATGAGGAGCTAACAAAAGATCTGACATCAAGGCCCACTCAGCACATTTGCAAGCCAAATACTGCACATCTGACAGGTGATCAGCAGATACCAGTGATCAGAGAGGACTGCTTCTCAACAGAGGCTTGGAGTTATGGTCTTACAACTGCTAAACACTTCAGAGAAAGTGCCTGGCAATTCTGCGTGGTTAAAACAAGGCCAGTCAGCTGTAATTAGACTGCACTGGATGCTCTTGTGCTTTTAGGAGACATTCTGTGACCCCAGGTCAGAAGTTGAGACCATGGAGTGCTTTAGCTATACTGGATTTTTGCACTGTTGACAGTACAAAGCCACTGGATGTACCTACATGCAGCTAAAAAACCCCCAGGCTTCCAAGAACCAGAGCCATAATGCTCAGTAATGTAATTTAAAACAACTCCACCATCTACAAAAACATCTGTGGAACAGTGACACAAAAATGCTGATAGTCTTTCTAACCTACCCTAAAAGAAGAGATATCCCCATCAATTAAATTGCACAGATAAGGCTTGAGGCTGAAACATGTATTTAAAGTTGACCTGCAAATGAAAAAATTCACCACTCATTTTGTTTCCTCCTGTGGTAAAGAGGCCAGAGAAGCTCTCACTGCCCTCCCCTCCAAAAATCTCTATCTGCATTCTCACCTCCATCAGAAATATAGCACAGGAACACAGTGATGTCAGACACTCAGAGAACTGCAACCTTGAGAGGAATTTATGGCTCTGCTCTTATAAACAGATAAATGACCAGTTCATAGGGAAAAGCCTCTCTGATAAAAAGGTCTCTTACTCTTCCAGACACTTTCACTGAATGGCTCAAGAAATTCAGCCAACATCTCATCACACAACAGATGGTTACAGATAGTTCATGAAATTCTGAACACTTCAAAATAGAGCCCATAACACACTCCTTTTGCCTGCTCTGCCTCTGCCATCCACGAACAAGGTTGAGCTACTATTTCTCTTTTGCAGGTCAACTTCAATACATCAGCTGGGAGTCACTCACCCGTGTGCCATGCACCTGAGCTTCTAGAAAGCTGAACCTACCAGACTCCTGCAACTCACACATCTGCACCTGCACAGGGGTCAGATGAAAAGTGAACTAACAGGACACACCTGGCACGAGGATGCGTCTGAGAGCACTTTCACATCCTGCAAGTAAGTGCCAGGACTAGAAATCAATTCCAATTTATTGAGGACAAGAAAGCACAAATAAAGAAACATATGCATTAAGAGAAGTTACAACCAAGAGTTAGGATGTGCCTCCTGCAGCCTCAAGTTTTGAGGAGTCTGTTAATAAGTGTACAGGTCTTTGTCTACTCAGATGTACAGCTAAGGAGTGACTTTTTATAGAACAAGGAATTCAGATTTTATCAAAACAGCACCAGTAACTGTGCTCACTACACCAATGGCTACCACAGCATGCATCTGTACAAACCTTTCAGGCAGTTGTCCACAGCTGGTCACGAATAAAAAGGCATATAAATTTTTCTCCTCTTTTATTACAATGAAGTTTATAACAGTACAGAAAAGTCACATGACCTTAGTGGGTCAGTTTACTTAAACCCTGAAACAGGAGGAACTCTAAATACATTAAATATTGTTACAAGTTCAGACTTTAATGTACAAGTAGTTGGGAACAGTTACAGCCCTCACCAAACTATGTTGGGGACGTGAAGTCCAACAGCACTTGAAGTGCTGTGAAGGCATCATTTCACAAAGAGCAACGTAACATCACAGAACTTGCCTTTAAGGTGGTATGTTCATGTAATTCCAGCGCCTTCACAATTTAACGAACCATATTTACTATACTTCACTTCTAAAAACCTAGATGAAACATGAAAAAGAAGCCATACAGTATAAATTGCAACATCAGGAAAAGTTCCTGTTATTATTCCAAATAATTTTTTCCCATGTAAAATAAGAATGTCCAATAGCTCCTTGCATGTGGGAAGGTACTTATATTTTTAAAGTCACAATGAAGCCTTAATTGACGGAAGCTCTGCTATATTAACAGCACAAGATGAGAAAAGGTTTAATCTCCAAACCTATTAGAGCGTGAGTAGGAGCGTCAGTAGCGGCCGCCTTGCGACATTACGGGGGGTCTCATTCCCATGGGAGGTCGAGGAGGTCCACTCTGGTACGGGGGCACCATCGGAGGTCCCTGCCCGTATGGAGGCATGGCCCCAGGAAGGTATCCTGGCATGCCCTGGTGATGAGCACCATACTGACCTACAAACAGAACATTTAAGAGGCAAAGAAGAATTGGTTTTATTTTTTTTAAATAATGAGAAGTTGCCTTCTGTGATAAGCTTCACCCCTCCCTGCCAGAATAGGCCACTTCAAAGTTCTCAAAAGGTTTACGGCAAAGACAAAGCTTTTCAGGAGAGGAAAGCTGGGGAATTTGTGATTACCGTGAGGTGGCATGGGAGGTCTCATTCCTTGTTGCTGGGGAGGAATTCCTGGCTGTGGTGGCATCATACCTCCAATTGGTCCAACTGGTGGATTACCCAGGGCAGCCTGGCCTGGCCGAGGAAGATTGCGCTGGTACTTGGGCAGCTGAGCCCTTCTCTCTTCCTAAAACCAGAGCACACAAGCACAACACGGTGTGTTAACACCCACCAAGAGCACAGCAAAGAGAGGTTCAACAAAGCAGATTACAGGCACTAAAGTATTTTAATTAACCACCTTACAGTTCAGAGACTACCACTAACATGACACAGGAGCTCCTGCATTTTCCCCTTTCCTGCAGTTACTGCATCAATTCCAGCTCAATGGAGCATTTTGCACACAACACAAATTCTCCCCCCCACTCAACAAAGCCTTTTTCTCTTAAGCTGAGACAAAAAAGTTGAACACAGATCTAAAGATACCTGACCTGAAAATAAGGTTCATTTGTTTTATCGATAAATTCCATTTTCTGACTGCTGTAACAGCACCAAAACCACATCAAATTGTTCGGTCTCTTGTTCTACACTACCTGCATGTATTACACTTCAAGTTTAAGTCACATGCAGGAAAAGTCCCAATTACATTTTGGGTTGAGTGATTTCCTGTCCCCAACAAAGCTAAGGCACAGAACTGCAGCAAGATCATTGCCACATGCCAGTCATCTCAGTTACATTAATCCTGCACAGTTTGCACTCTCACCATTATTAAAATACACATAATACAGAGCACAGAAGAATTTCCATTTAATCAGCCATACCAGCACAAATTGCATTTTTCAGTGAGACAACGAAAACATTTTAACTTACCAGTGATATATCCTCATCTGGATGGATCAACTTACTGGTTGCACTGGTTGTGGTGAGGGTAGCAGGCTTACTTGTTATAGATGTGGCTGGTTTAGCTGCAGTGCTGTTGGTGGTGCTAGTGGTTGAGGCTGTGGACTGTGTGTAAGCAGGGAATGTAGGTTTGGGGGGCTCCGTTGTTGTTGCAGGTGTAGAATTCAAAGGTTTGAAATCAGTACCAACTGGCCCTGGCACAGCTGCTGCAGCCTGTGGAACACACACAGAGGTCAATGCTTGCATCTCAAAGCAGCAGAAAACTTAAATAACGATGTCTCTTAGAGCTCTGAAACCTTCCAGTGAGATACATAATTGTAACAAGCTCGACAAAAGTAAAGTTCAGCCTTATTGCACACTAGAGCAACTGAAAACAAGACAAAATAAAACCCAGGATACACACATATACACACACACACACACTGGAAAGTCTAAAATTTGCAGGTCAAAAGCCACAACTAGAAAAAAGGAACAAACAAAAAAAATCCCAAAACCCCACTATCAAAACCTTTATCTCAAATACTGAATTTGGTAGGTGCTAAATCTTTCCTGATCCACTGTTTTATGAAGAGTTTTAAGTATAAATTCATTGTTCTCTCACTAATTAACATACTTTAGCAACCATTAGTTCAGAGTACAGCTCAAACTGTTAGTTTTCATTAAAATTATGTAGTTAAGTAGTATTTTAATCCAATATTTAAGAAAGTTCTATTGTGTCAGGGTTTTTAAGTGTTCTCTGTATAAAGACACTACAGCATTGTCAAAAAGTACTATGTCTACCTGCAGAACTTTAATCTCATTTGAGAATGAAGAGTCAATGGAAGCAGATATGAGGTTCACTACAGATTCCAGCAATTCACCTTTCCTACTTTTTTCTTAAAAAAACCCTGCCAAAGTCTGCTTTACAAAGCTGTCTCGGAAGACACAGCAATGTCCAAAGCAAGCCTTAGTTATGAGAGAATGCTTTTGTTTCTAGTCACTGTGTATTTACAATCACCTGAACCTCCCAGCCAAAACAAAAATATTTAACTTTCTGCACACAATGCAAATGAAAAATTTCCTGCACCGTGATGTACCATATTAAACAACATAAACTAAAAAGCCTTCACCATGCATCAAGCTAACCACTGCCCACTAAAATGCATTGAACTGCTTTCATGCTTTTTTAACCCTTTAGAACCAGGAGGTAACATTTTGTTCTTTCACACTAGGGAAATCGGGCACTTTGACAAGCTGATTTCTAGCAAGATACAACTCCCAATGGAGGACTCTGTGGTTTTACCAGCTAAACACAATCAGGAAGGGAACAGAAATGGTCTGCAGATGTTTAGTCAATTTTAGGTTTGACAGAACGGTCCAAAGGGTTAAGTTGCAAAGCAATTGAACTGTGACTTCCTGCGTACTTGTGCTGTGCTAGGAAACAGAGCGTTAGAAGATGCTGACAGACTTTCTGAATTGGAGGAAGCTGCACTTGAGCTTGTGACAGGTGTCCCCATCTGTAGCATAAAAGAAAGGAAACAGTGAAAAGTCTCCAAACAAAAGGGTGGAAAGTATCCACATGAAAGGATTTCTTATGCTAAGCCCTTCCTTACAAAAGGACTGGGTTTTTGTAAATAAGTATCTTCCCTGCAGAAGTCCAAAATGCAGATAATACACTATGGAGGTTTCTGTAACATACTTGAAAGCAAGTTAAGACTTCAGGGCTTACACACAAGTGCATTCAAAGGGAAGAGGTCACAAGCCACTATCAATTCCCCACTTCCCTCCCCAACACACTTGAATGAATTTTTTACCACCCTAACTTGCTCCTAAACTTTCTGCAGTACAGAACCTCCTAACTCAGGCAATGTTTAAGCAGTTTAACAAGATAGAATAAATCAGTCTGTCAATTGGCAGAGAGCCCATTATGAGAACAGCTGAGAACAAGTCATGCCAAGACTTATAATTTGTAAATTTTAGGTAGAGTTCTCTGCAATCAGACTCCTGGCTGACTAACACATCCCTTCACCCACCCAAAGCACCTTTATAAACAACAACCTAAAGGCATTAAACAAAGAAGTGTTTTGCCTACCCCCTTCTTCCCCACATGCTTAGAGAATTGTTTGGCTTCACAGCTGTTGCAAGACAAAGAATCTCTTACAATTCATTCAATCACTACACTGAATTAAACTTCCAAATCAACCCAAGCAAGAAACCAGTCATTTCTGGGGCCTCCTCAGTAATAAACAGCCACTGCCCACACTGTGGAATTTGATGGATGAAGGAGCAGCCATTGCAGGCTCTGGGACACCTTACCTGCCCCGCACTTGGGAAGAGTGGTTTGGTAACTGGAGGCTGCGGGGTAGGCGCTGTTGCAGCAGGAGCTGGAGGCCGGTTAAGGATGCCCGGGGCTGTGACAGGCTGTGCTTGGGTCATGGGGGGCATGCCAGGCCGGGGCCCCACGGGGGGAGGCATTCCTGCAACCACAAAGCACGGCACACGGATCAGGCTCGAGGGGCAAAGAGGCTTCCTCAGAACCATCTCCCACAAGGAAGATGTATTCTGAGGCAACAGTAAAACAAAACACAACACAAGGCAATGTCAGCAATCACAGTTAGTAACCTCCACCCCTTCAGAGCAGTAGTGAATTAAAGCATTTTTTACTAAAGCTTCCATAATGCAGTTTATGCTCCTGTTAAACCAAGGCAATGAATGCAGGAACTGTTTCCAACACACTGTGCCCACCCTGCCACGAGTGTGGGTGAGACTGGTACAGAACCAAAGAGCCTCAGCCCTCACCAACAGCACCAGCACTGTGACAAACACCCTCAGTGCTGCTGGGGGGTTCAGCACTGTGACTGTTCGTGCTCTGGCATCCCCAAACCTGCACCTGGTGTGCAGGGAGCTCCAGGGGAGGCTCAGGTGGGAAGTTAACAGCTCCCAGGAGTCCCATCAAGCAAACCAGCAAATCCCAGTTCATGACCACACAGCTGCTGCTCAGGTGGAACACCCTGAGAACTTCAGGCAGCTCAAGAGACATCTCTTCCAGCTATGGTTAGAGATCAAAATTGCAATTAAGTTTCTTCAAATAGAAGGCTCATTAGTTGGGTAAATCACCAACATTATTCCTCACTTCCCACATTTTCAATCATTACTATTTTCCAGCTGCAGCCACAGACATTAAAAAAAGGGATGAGACAACACAACAGCAGAGGAGAATAATAATAATAAATAATAATAATAATACAAAACTATATTCTATTTTTCACTTTAACAATAGGGTAAAACTCAAATAATTACTTAAAATAAAAAGCAATAAATCAACCACCTCTGCACAGGAGTGGCTTCTGTGGCAATCAAACCACATCAAGGTGGTGGCACTTATAAAAATCCTAAATCTTAATGAAAATAAATAAATATAACTCTCACCATAGTACGAGTTCGACAACCCTGACCTACCTGGTGGCATACCAGGCATAAGAGGTGGTATTCCTGGCCCAGGAGGCATCATTCCACCCATTGGCATCATCCTATTAAACAGAAAATGAACACTGGTATCAGCACTCCTGATAAACTGTTAAGACAATTGGCACATACCTGTATTAGACAAAAAAATCATGATAATAATGCCAAGAAGCCCTCAATAGAGGCAATTCAAAACCAGCTGACTCCACAAGAAAAAAAACCAAAAAACCAGGAAACCCAACACCCAAACCCCCAAGAAAATTTGAGCTTTAATTTCTTAAGATTTCACTTCCACTATTATGAAATATCCAGAACTGGTGTCCCTCTTGAAATCTGTTTCAGGTTACCAGTTGCAGCAAAGTGTTCCAAGAACATGATCTTGGCACACTCAGGAAGTCTGAATGTAGGAAAAGAGGCAGTTCAAATCACCCTCAATCGCTGCACAACTGCTGTTACTCCTCTCTGACACCACAAGGGAATGGCAGAGAACCCAAATGTGCACAGCTATCCATAAAATACTGATAAAAGCAGAGGCTAGGAAAGCTTCTGCAGTTTCAATTACAGTAAATCATCCACATACTAATGATAAAGTGGGATTTTTTTTTTTTTAATATGAGAAGCCCTCATTATAATATATTTTTCTCCATATTAAAAAGGGCTTTTCCCTAGAGGATTATGTGTGATTGCTTTACAGGGAACTAACCAAGTGTAGCTTAAATTTGCTTCATTTTTGTACAGATGCTCGAAGACATATCAGGGAAACAAAATAATGGAATTCTCATTACTTTAGTGAGCAAGATAAACAGATGTGCAGCAAACAAGTGCACCCCAAAAACCCCTAAAAAGCAGTCTGTTGGTATGACAGAGTCAAGACACCTTCACCCCTGGTGTTTCAGCATCAAAACAAATCACCAGGAAGGGGTGAGCAAAGCCTGAGTTCTATCCCCAACTGCCAGTGCTAAAGGGAACACCCTGTGCAGGAGCAGGAGTGGCTGGGAACACAGCACCATTTCCCCTTTTTTGGGTTGATGGTCACAGCAGGCAAAGTCAGTCCTGACACATTAGACACAAAAAAAAAAGTGCTGGATGCTCCTTGCCTGCTCCCCCAGAAAGGTGACTCCCCAGGAACTGCAGAGACAGTGCTACAAATATTGTCAAGCTAAAAACAAAGTTGCTTTCTGTGTCCTAATTCCTCTCTCCTCATTTTTAGACACGAGATAATCAGGTTAAATAAGCAAAACTTCAGATTAAAATGGGTAAAAGGATAGTGCAACACCACCCTCTGCTCCCAAATGGAAATGCAGTGAAATTCTGGCAAATCCAGTTATGTTTTTACCTGGTGTTTAGTGAGGACTAAGCACCAGAAAACCTGATTAAATTCTGTTTAGTTTCCACCCAGAGAAATTAAAGTCATGATGAGCATCCACACCACGTTTGACTATGGCACGATTTTTAAATTCAAAGATTGTTAAATCAATATTTGTGTCCCAGAAGAGAACAACTTTCCACCTCAGTGAACTTTAAAACTTCCAAATTGAGATCCTGCAGTGCATCCTGCAGTGGGAAGGACCGAGCACAAGGAGCTGCACTCTGGTTCAAGAGAGGTTGTCAGTCCCTGAGGGTCTATTTTGTAAATATTCTGCAGAACACATTTCACACATAGTTTTGTAATATTTAGATAAAGCATAAAAATTCATATATTATACAAGAACAAAACTTAACTAGACATTTTCCCCAAATTCTCAGGCAATATTCAGAGGTTTTCAGTAAGACAATTCCAAGCTTATCAAAAACATGACATAAAATGGCATAATGAATGTACCTAAAATTACATTAATGAGATGCTTACATGTTTCCACCACAAAATGACTGCATGTATTTTCTCTGTTGATGTAATCTGTGAAAATTTATGACAAAATCAAAAATCTAACTGTGAATTTCCAAAACACATTGTGATAGGGGATGGTGCCAACCCCAAACAAGCATAAAAAAACAACACCTTTTGCCCAAAATACAAGAAAAATATAAACTATCCAGTATCTTTTTTGTGTTAGGCTGATGACTGATAACCAGATGCACAATATATGTGCAGTGCACAAGGGAACAGTGGCTCACAGAAGGCTCTAAACCAACACAACAAAGCTTTAAATTAATATAAAATTAATATACCACTACTTAAGAAAGTCACAAGAAAGGCAACATACTTTACACATTAACTCACAGCTTGCCCATATTTTACATGTTGGTTTACAGCCATCCAGTTCTCTACTTAGCCTTAATATTTAGGTCACAGAGTTTGCAATTTCCCAAATACGTTTTTTAATTAGCTTTACTTCTTCTGTGACAGTTTAAAATGCACAGTATGTATATGTAATATCAAGTCTTTCTTGCTACTCACCCGGGTGGCATTCCAGGCATAACTGGAGGCATTCCAGGCATCATAGGTGGAACACCTGCCATTAATGGTGGAATACCTTGAAAGAAAAATACGTTTTCAGCAACTCACACAACATACAGTTGCTAAGAAACGGCATGTAATAAATGCAGACTGGATAACTGCTCTACAGGAAGCTCTGAAAGACTGCTTTTGAAATAATGCTGCTTACAAACAACCCAATATAAAACATCTGCACATCTGATTTGGATTCACTGCTCTCAGTCCTGCAAGACTCTACATTTTCCCAGTGGTCTCCGAAGAACACACCCTATTACAAGGGGAAGAGACCATTTTTCACTCACTGATCAAAATTCTTTCCTCACCGTATTTGTGGCCTGTGTACAAACTGCCTGCTCTGTGCGAGCAGTCTCTACATACACAACAGCCTTCCTGCCCTGCTTCCAGAATCCTGTGACAAAATCCCACAACCAAACATCTCTGGGACACGTCTCTTTGAAGCACTAAGCTGTCTCACTACCACATGCCTTCACGTATGGGGGAAGGACACAGAATGGGGGAAGAAAATGAACAAACTGCTTATCTGCTCCTCACAGAACTATTTTGTGACCTCCCAGACCCAGTGCAAAGAGGGTAGATTATTACTCAGCACACCAGCAGCAATTTGTGTAATTCCTGCCCAGCTTTTCACACCCTCTCACCTGGAGGCATCCCTGGAGCACCTGGCACAGGAGGCAGACCTGGCTGTGCCATTGGGGGAATGTACCCCTGCTGTGGCTGAACTTGCTGGGGTTGAAATGAAGTTGAAGCCGCAGATTCATCATCTTCATACTCATCAGAATCATCCTGTTGTTTCTTTTTCTGGCTCTCTGCAGACAGGACAGGAGATGGTCAGACAGAAGGCAAATTATGTTCTATGAAATTACCTTTATCTGGGGTGTTCTGGTTGGAACAAAAATAGTCAAATTCCAATCTGGAGCTGCGTCGGAGAACACAGCAAAGCCACCCCTCACTGTGCCACAGTTCCCAGAGCAGGGAAATGACACACAACCTGCCACATTACACCTTACCCTGAGTTTTTTGTTCAAGTAACCTCCTCCGTTCCTCCATGTCTTTCTCTGGAATGCCCTCCATCCCATAGATTTCCAGTTCAATGTCTGTTCTTCCGGGAATAGCATTTGGAACAGCATCTATTGTTTCCTTATGTACCTAAAGGAAAAGAAAAGCAAACAAATGCTGCTGACCACAATTCAGGTTCAGTTCTCTGTGTTCTTCAGCCAGTTTCAAGATAGAAAAGGAACATCCTTAATGGGAATAATCTCTCTGGCCAAGCATATCCTTGATTGTGCCTCCTAATCTCTGGTAACTACTATTAACTCTAAAACCAGTTTACAGACTTAGAACATCAAGACAACACAGTTCCTTCACTGCTCCTCCAGAACTGAGGGCAGAGATCTGTGCTGCACAGTGTCCACCTGACTGCTGACACAGCAGGACTCCCGTGCTGGAAACAGGCCAGTGCTGCCCTTTCCTCATCAATTTTTAAGACTCTGGAAGCCCCAAACGCCACCTTTTTAAGGTCACGATTCATTCAAATTTTAGATACTCTTAAGAAAAATCCAAGTAAACCTAAAACTCCTTACCTGCATGCAGTGTATAGCTAAACCAGGTCCTGTATACAGTTTCTTATGACATATATGGCATTTAAAGTGCTTTGCTTTTTGATGCTGTATAAGGATTTTTTCATCATCAAAATCCCTATTACAATACCTGTAGAAGACTGTTAAGGAAACATTTAATGCTGCAAGAGACCTCCTAGACAAAACCAAGGTAATTAGCACCAGGGTGACCTTTCCTAAAGCAAAAAGGCACATGAACATATGTGAGCATTCAAAGAGTGACAAATATTTCGTGTATGTCTGAAATCACCACCCTCATGTGATCCAGCATTTCCCTCATCAGACAGGTATAAAACTGAGGTGTGTGCAGTAAGAATCATTTGATTCCACATCCTTTGTCACATGGTTTTCAAGTCCTACTTCTTTTTAAGTGGACTCACTCCTTCCCTTCAAGGGTGTGGATGAAAATAAAGGTGCAAAAGCATTAAAGGAGGAAGAGACTTGAAATCAGAAAAACAGAGGCTATGCTAAAGACTCAGAATTGTCTCTTTAGTAACAAGTACCAGTAACTAACAAACATAAAAGAGAACAAAGGTCTTAGTTAAAAATTCCTTTCCTACCCAGCTATCAATTCTTCTGCCACTGCACAATTTGCTGCTGTCATTAAAGAATTCTCTGCTTTTAAACAGAAGTATTTTAAACAAGGAGCTTCCTGGATATCTAGGTAACAGAAGAAGCAAAACTGCATTTCCCTCCTGCAGGTCAGCACTGGGATTTCAGCAAACGCTCCACACGCATCTTCCTCGGCGAGACAAATACACGGTTGCAATTCGTTATTAACACAATGTTAACATTGTTATCACAAAGTGTCTCTTGCTTCCGCCAAAACGTGAAATATATCTAAAACACAGGCCTTGCAACATAAAACGGCACAGAGAAGCTTATATATTCCTTTATTAAGCAATCCTAGATGGGGCAGAAACATTTGAGAGAGAGAAAAGGTAAATCTGCAATCAACCCCCCAACAGACTCTGAAGGAACGACCAAAGAAAAATCCACCAGTATTTCAGAACACTGAGAAATTCCACCTGACTGTGATGCAGCAATTACAAATTTGAAAGCCTATCCGGCCACAAAAAAAAAAAAAAAAAAAAAGTTTTCAAAATCTCTCTTTTAACCACATCCGCCCCACTCCTTGAATATATTGTATCGTGTATATTAGGAGCAGGATTTTCTCGTTTGTAACATCCTTCCCCCGGGGCAGAAAGGCTGTTTTCTTTTTTCCCCACGACGCCGGCAATCCCGCCGGGCCCGGCCCGGCTCCAGGGAGCGGGTGTGAGGCCGCGGCCTCGGCGGGAGGGGCCATGAGGGGAAAAAGGGAACGAACCGGGGTCCATCCCGAAGAGCACAGGGACGGAACAGCGCCGAGCACCGAGACAAACCGTAACCGAGATGGGGAGAACAGGGAGCCCCATCCCGGGCCAGGCCAGGGCCGAGCCGCGACCGCGCCAGGCCGCTCCCCTCCCCCACCCAGCTCCCCGCACCCGCCGCGTATCACACACAAGGATACCAGCACCAAGGCTTCAGCTGCTTCTTCTTCTTACGGCCCATGGCTGCGGCGGCGGCCCCGAGCTACAGAACAGGCGAGCCGAGCGCTCCCTCAGAGCCGCAGCGCCCGCCCGGACCGAGCGAGGAGCACAAAATGGCGGCCGCGCTCCCTCAGGCGCCACCGCCCCCGCGCTCCCAGCGTGCACCGCGCCGGGAGGGGGGAGTGCCCACGTGACGCGCGCGCGGCCCCCCCGGGCTGTCCCGTGTCCCCTCACGGCGCCGCCGCCATTTTGGACCGGCATGTGTCACAGTTAGAGAGTCATGGGACGGTTCGGGTTGGGAGGGACCTTAACGAGCGTCTCGTTCCACCCCCCTGCCCTGAGCAGGGACACCCTCTATTAGACCTGGTTGCTCAGCTCCGTCCAGCTTGGCCTTGGATGCTCCCGGGGCTGGGGCAGCCACAGCTTCTCTGGGCAACCTGTGCCAGAGGCTCACCACCCTCACAGCAAAGAACTTCCTCCTAAAAGCTAATCTAAACTGTTTCTCAACTTCATATTTAATGGCACAGAGAGACAGTGTCTTCCGTACGAAATCTGACGGGGCAAGAAGCCAGTGTTGCTTAAACTGTTCTAAGCAGTGCTGTGGTGCTGGCTGTGTCTGTGTTACCATCTGCTGACAGTGAGGCCATGGGGTGTGGGGGAGCCCAGCCCTCCAAGAACACAATAAAACCAACTGAACTGTGTTGTGTTGTAACTCTTCCTGTGCCTGGCCAGGGGTTGGTCCCTCTGTTGCACTGACAACCCATCACGGGGTGTGTCTGTTATCCCCATGGCTCTTCAGTTTTGGGCCAGTCCACCAGCTCCTTAGAACAGAATCATGGAATTGCTGAGCCTGGAAAACACTTGTAAGATCATCAAGTCCAACTATCAGCCTCGTCCAACCCTTTGCAGTGGCCCTGCTGCAGCTGGGGGTCAGAGCTGCTCCCAGTGAGGCTTGTCCGCGACACAAGGGAGGCTATAACACAAGGGACAAACCCACCTGGACACGTTCCTGTGTCCCCTGCTCCAGGTGACCCTGCCTGGGCAGGAGGTTGGACTGGCTGATCTCCAGAGGTCCCGTCCTACCCAAATGGTTCTGTGATTCTGTAACTGCCGGGACAGCCCACAGCAAACAAATGTGCTGCTTTAACAGAGGAAGAGGTATTTCAGAGGCAGAGCTTTTCAAAAACAGGCAGCACGGCTAATCCTGCCAAATCCCCCATAGCAAGGTGTCGGGAGAGATCATCTTTAAGGTCTCTCAGCCCAAACCATTCTGTGGAACGTGATTTGAGCGGGTCCTGCCGTTAGGCGAGTGAAGGATCGCCTGTCCTGACACGGGTCCCGTGGGATCTGAACCGCCCTATCCCGCACTGCGCAACCAGGAGCTGCGGCAGCCGGAGAGGTTCCCAACGCCGGCTCTCGGCGGGGTGAGGACCCGGCCCGCGGCTCCTCCCGCGGCTCCGCACGCTCCTCCCAGCGCCGGGCCCGGGGCGGGCTCCGCGGGGCGGGCTCAGGCACACCCACCGCGCCCCGGGGCTCCGGGGTGGCTCTGCGGGCACAGGCGGGGCTCGGGGCGCGGGGCTCGGGGATCGGTCCGCGATGCTGCCGGCGCTGCCGGATGGCGATGAGCGGGAGCTGGAGAGCAGCGAGGAGGGCGGCGGCGCGGGCGAGGAGCGGCGGCCGGAGCGGCACGGCAGCACCTACCACGGCCTCTACGGCTACCGCAGGTGAGGCGCCGGCTGCCCGCGGGGAGGCCGCCCCAGGCCTCGGCTGTTCCCAGCTCCCTCCATCCCCTGCGGTTTTTTCCCTCTCCTCTCTCCCGGATGAGATTCTTTCCCTCCCATAATGCACCGATTCCCTGCTGCTGCTTTGACTCGCCCTCGGGCCGTACCTTTCCCCGCTGCGGTCGCTGTTCCGTGTCACGGGTGTAAAATCCATCCTGGGAATCCCTTGGCTTTCAGGTCCGCGCAGGGAGCGGCCGGCGGGGATGGCGGGGCCGGGGCTCACACACCCTCCACCGAGGACTTCAGGTAAAGCCGACCTGCACAATCACCTGCAACACCCTGCTTTGAAGTCTCTGCAGAATTGCTGTCAGGTCATTGTTAGGTCCATTGCAGTGCCTTCAAAGCACAAGCCCCCGTGAAAGCAGACTGGAGTCCCCTGGGTGCTTCTTCTGGAATGCCTGAGGAATGGGCACAACTGCAGAGCTCAAATAATGTATTGGACATAAGCTATCATCTCTGAGTTTGAACTCTCTTTTCTTTGCTACTTCATATTTCTGTACTGATTTAGGTCTTCACGTAGGTAACAGATAGAAAAAAACTATTAATTTTCAATGGACATCTTCCCATAAGCTCTGTATCACAACTAGGGAAACATAGGAAGAAAGAGCTGCTGGGAAGGTCAGCATGAGCTGACACCACCACTCCAGGCTCCTGGGGAGGTGACAAATCACTGACTGCTCCTGATGGGCCAAAAGTCAGAGAGCGGTGTCAGCTGTCACCAGAGAGAGATCACAGGGGTCCCCCTGCTAGAGGCAGGTTCTGCATTTGGTGAAACAAGACAATAACGTGATTTTTGCTAACGATTTCTTCTTGTTTGTGAAGCCTCACCTTGCTGGACACGAACTTACCGGCTGAAGCGGAGACAGAACTGCGCGGTTTTATCGCCAAGCGTCTCACTAAGGGAGCCCTGTTTGAAGGGATGGGCAGTGTAGCCTCAGTGGGGCTCAGGTAAACTACTGAAGATTATTTGTGGATGAGAAGCTGTAGGGAACATTGGCAGCACTGCACATCTCGCCTGTGTGCTGCTGCTCTTGGGTCTAATCCTGTGTTCTCAGTTTAGTGCTGCTGTGAATAACAGCCTTACACAAAGGCACTTACATAGCTGGGACAAAAATACTGCAGGAAATGAAGCACTGCATGTGTTTATGATTATTTCCTTTTCAACTAATCACACCTCAGAGGGAAAAAAAGAGGTCTAAGAGCTTTATATATGACCATAGGAGCCACCAGTGCTAGTGGGTGAAAATTCTCTCAGAAATCATGTATGTCTGCTTTTTGCACTTATTTATTGTGATGTATCTGGAAGAAAATAATATTTTTATTTCATAGTATACCAGAAAGCAAAGTTGGTTGTTACTACTGTCGTTTCCAACAAGACAATCTTCTAGAAATGGCAACGTTGGAATCAGATGCCAATGCTCCAGAATATGTGATCTGTTTCTTAGGTGGCTCAGAGAAAGGTCTGGAACTATATCCTTACCTCTGACTGCCTTTACCTGTGTGGAGAGGGAGATGATGTAAAAATTATCCTGTCATTTTGTCTGTTTCTACCTGGAATCAGCTCGTTTGTGCACACCTCTCCAGTTACTGAAAATGTCAGTAACAGCCATTTACTGAAAGGGGAAAATGCAGGTCTTAACTGATGCACCTTATTTTCCTTAAGAAGATACTTTCAGACTTGAGCTGGACAAATATGTTCAAAGTCTGAAGATAAACCTCAATTTAGAGGTAAGGCCTAACTCTTTTAAGTGGTGAAAATGAGTATTTACCCAAGTTAATTGCTAAGACAATCTGGAAGATTTCGTCTATAGAGCCTATAGGTGTTTTAACAGCAGTGAGATTTGGAGAGAAGAATGATGAATAAAAGGTAGCGGTCTACAAGGAAATTATCAATGTCCACCTCGATTCTCACCCCTTCTGAACGTTAAGGAAGGATTTTTTTTGTGGGTTTCTTGTCACATTTTTCTAGTGGAAACTCTTCCTCTTAAGTGTCTTTGGGATCCAGTCTGCTGTTGCGTGGTCTTGGCTCAATATATGCCATAATATTTCAGTTCTGGCTGTTCCTTAAAATGCAAAGCCTTTCACAGCTGATAAAGCACGGCTTTAAATGTCAAACTCATTATTTTAGTTCTCTGTGGTTTAGGATTAAGAAGGCTCTGACATCCAAACATCTTTGGTTGAGTAGATTATTAATAGGCTTCTATTTGTGTAGAAATCTAATTTGTAGTTAAAGCTTTAACTTTCAACTTGTCACAGCAGAAGAACTTGGAGAGCTGCGTGAGCCCCTCCTTGAGGAGCTGGTTTGAGGATGCCATCTGCCCCATCCAGAGGGTGGTGCAGCTCTTCCAGGACAAACTGGCCTCTCTGTTACATGCTGTAAGTGTATTTAAACTGCGGAACTAAAAACCTTTGGATGGCACCTCGGGGACTCCAACATAGTTAAAATGTTTCTTGCACTTGCTTTCCCAGCAGGAGGAAATGGAGAGCAACTTTTTTCTTCTTTAATTTTTCTTTTTTAATTCAGCACAAGTACCTCTTCCCTCCATTATTGCTAAGGAAACACATGACAATTTCTTCCATTAATCATTATAGTTAACTCATTTAAAATTACCTAACAGTGTCTACGTTGAGATTAGAATAAGAAAATTAGAAATAGCCTGAGCAGGCTGTCCCTGCTATAATTCCTCTGAACAAAAAGGGGTGTTATATTGTGCATGTGCCTCCTGTAATTCACTGGAAACAGAAAAGAAACTAATCCTAGCTCTAATCCCTGAGATTGAGGGAGCTTTGGATGGAATAGCTAACAGTATAACTGCTGAATTTCTTCTGAGTGCAAAACCAGCTGCAATAACTATAACATGGAGTACTGCCTTGAAAAGAGCAGTTTTTAAAGTGCCACATTATGTATTTATTGCTCATAACTGCAATATAGCAACAGAAGTAACAGCACTGTTGCATCCGGCTTTTTCCTTTGTTTGTGTTCAGGCTTTGAGTTACACTCCTGTAGAAGTGAAAAATGCAGACGAAAGAACAGAAAAGGACATCAGCAGGTAAAGATGCTTTGGGACCAAGGAACTGTGAGTAACTTGGCCTGTGTATGTGACAGCTGCTCCCTGCTGTCCAGGAGCTGCAGAGAACAAGCAGGTCACGAGAGCTCTCTGTGCCAGGTTCCTGGCAGCTGCCAGCCTGCAAGGACTCGTCCAGGAGGGCACCATGACCTCCCTGTGCATTGCCATGAGCGAGGAGCAGCACAAGGCCCTGCTCATTGACTGCAGTGCAGCTCAGCCCCAGCTCCACAACGCAGGTGAGATCCCAGCGGGGGGGCCTCCTGTTCCTCCTCGGATCCCGCAGCTGCCAGAGCTGGGCACGGCAGAGGCTGGTGAGGATATTCACCAACTTGGAGGCTGCTGCCCTGAAAGTCTGGATGCTGGCTGGAAACTACAGCACCTGGAAGATCAGGGTGGTTTGTTGGAACTCTGGGTTGAAAATGCTTGATAATAACAGCCATCAATCATCCCTATGAAAATACAATTGTACAATTCAGGGAATCCACAGAACTTATTTTTCCTGTTGTGATTTTGAGCAAATGCTGTGAAAAGGGATTCAACAATCACAACAGTGTCATGTAATCACTGTAGCTGTGTTTGTTTTCTCTTCCACATGTACTGGTTTTCCTTAAAACTCATTTCCTGGCCCAGGTATACGACTATCAGTGTCACATGAGAGGGCTTAAACCAGGTGAATGCAGCTGTATATTTATGTGGAGCTCATTTACTCCTTCTCTTCTCTTCTCCACATTCCTGAACATGTAACAGGAAGCAACAGGTTCTGTGAGGACTGGATGCAGGCTTTTGTGAACGGGGCTGAAGGTGGCAATCCATTTCTCTTCCGGCAGATTTTGGAAAACTTCAAACTGAAGGTACATGTTCATATGTGTTAAAGACTTGAAGAAGACATTGGGGTTGCTGAGGGAGCAAAAACTCTTCTTGCAGCAAAGAGAAGTTGTAGGTTGTTTACAGTGTCTGTCATTAACTGAGTAACCCTGAAGTTTAATTATGGCCTGGCTCACTGCAGTTGGCCACTGTAAAGCAGCATGGAAGTTTTTTCAGTGAATGCTCCAAAGGTGTTTTCTCATTTAAAATAAAACCCACCTATTGGAAAACCCAGCTACTGGAAATGCTTTTGCTTCTCCTGCTATTCATCCTTCATCTGCACATGTGTTTTCTTTCCACGCAGAAGGGTAAGGAAATGCTCTGGTTACTCTTTTCCCAGGCCATACAGGACATCAACAACCTGAAGAGGTTTATCCGCCAGGCTGAGATGAACCACTACGCCCTGTTCAAGTGTTACCTGTTCCTGAAGAACTGTGGCAGTGGGGACATCCTCCTGAAGATTGTCAAGGTGGAACATGCCGAGATGCCAGAAGCCAGGAACGTGGTGACCGTCCTCGAGGAGTTCATGAGAGAAACGGCCGTGGCTTAAAATCACCTTGGGTGGAAATCAGTCATTTCTTCTGTGCAGCTGCTGCAGGATTTTTAATTTATACTTAAAAGTATTACCCTAGTCAAACCTAAGTTGCAGTTTCACCTGCCTTTTGTCTTTTTTAGATGAGGCTTTTTTAATGTGTAAATATCAGATCATACAAACTCCTGCATAGTTTTTAGTGCTTATCAGATTCTCCAACTGACTCGACTTGCTCCTGTTGTGAGGAAATCATGATGTTTATTTTTTATAGTCACTACATGAAAAAAAACCCCAAACCCAAATCCCTTACCTGGCAAGCATTTCAGTGTTTTAAGTATTTTAACTGTCTTCAAAATTATCATGTGTAATCATTAGGATCTGGCTACTTTGTTTTAATAGAGGAGCACAAACATCTGGATAGATCACAGTAAATGAATTAATCAGGTTATATTAGAGAGCACAGGTAACGAGTCTGTAGCTACTTTGTGCATTGTGCTTTCAAACTGACTGTTCTGTCACTGGACAAACAGGTCATTCAATGGGGTGAGACAGAGCTGCCTTAAGACTGAACAGTTTCACTGACACGGGACAGGCATCTGAAGTTCCCAAGCTGTTTGATGAATCCCCTTCTTTCTCAGTTTGTGGTGTGATCAGCACCTTTGTGTGTTCTTAATACCCATTTTGCATAACTGTAAATCATCATATGTTTTCTAACTGGGAAGAAATAAATCCGAACATTTTACAGATTAAATATGAACTTTAAATTAAGAGAAACTTCTTCAGAATTGAAGTAAATTAAGTTCCCAGGTTCAGACTTCTAAATGTTTTGTTGTATTTCAGCCATGAGTTCTTTCCCCCATCATAGCACAGGTAGGCAGCAGAACACCTGAAGGAAATCTTAGGCTACAGCTGGAATCAAAACTCACCAGGTCTCTGAGAGACCTCATGAGTGAGGATGATTTCTGATAAACTCCCCTGGTTTCCCTTCCCAGCAGAGGCTGTTGGGACAACTCTCCCTGAAACAGTGGCTGTGACAAACGTGGTTCAGTGTGATTGTTGTGCCTCTGCTCTGTACTGTGATGACAGAAGTTTGGTGCTTTCCTGGGACACCACTGTGTGGAATAAGGTTTACAATAAACTCAAATCCTTAGTAGTGTGTCTGTAAATTGCAAATGAGTGTTGTCCTTGATGTGTCCTGTGTAAAACCCGTTATCACTCGATGCAGAGGAGCTGCAAGTGTCATACTGACAGCTCAGGTGACACAGAACATATTTGGGCAGGTCAGAGAAGAAAGTAAAAGGAGTCTGAAAGAAAACAAACCCCCCGTGTGCTCATTTGCTCTGAGAAGTATCCACTGTTTGCCTTCAGAATATTTTATCCATGAGTGAGTAAAGCAGCACAACTCCATAAAACATGTCAGCCTTTGTTGCTCCTGTACATTCCTAACAAAAAGTGGGATGTGAAGAACAGGCAGCAAGAAAAATGTTTGGTGCCCGTAGGCAATAAGAGTTCTTGTGTTATCTGACAAACCCCCACAAGGCCCACCTTACCTTCCTGCTGGGAGTCCTCAGTAATGAACAGAGATTTCAGCGTCTCCAGGGAGCTGCCAGGAAGAGCTGAGTCCCACACACAGCAGCAATCTCCTCCCTTAGGAATAACAATCTGACAGGAGCTGCTGCTGCTTGCATCTCCATCCCTGGAACTTACACTTTAACCCAGAAAATCCCAACAAAACCAGATTTTTCCAAATAAGCCTCCCCTTTCCACAGTGGAACTTTCTGGATATGTTGTTTCCACTGTTGGTTCAAGAGACTGGAACGTGTTAGTTCTCAGATTTAAAGACTGTTGTTATAGAGCACAACCCTCCTCCCCCAGAACAACTTCTAACCAGTTTCATGTTCGTGGCTGTCACCTTCCCTGCAGTGCTGAGGTCACCGCTGTGCTGCAGTGGCAGCTGCCAAAACACGGCACAAAACCTGGATTTCCAGACAAGACCCAAGCTGGATCTGCATCCTCATTATATCCCAAAAGAAGTGAAGCTGCACCTCACTCCCCCTTCATCTCTTAGACAGACATAAAATGAGTTACCAATGTCATCGTTAGCAGATTCCATTGCAGAGCTCCAAAGCAATTCTCTTGTTAAATAATGTGTAGACAAACTGACAAAACTGTCGTTGAAAGTTTTTTCTCAGTTGTTTTTTGGCGTGTGATACAGAACAACTTAATTTTATCAGAAAAGAGAAGAAGACTGAAACAGAAAACAAACCAAAAAAAAAAAAAAAAACCAAACACCAAAAAACAATTTAATGGATTCTGCGCTCAAATAATATTGTTACAACAAAAATATACAGAATGTACACGATACAAAAATATTTGGAGACATCCATGGCATCTTACCTTGCAGGTATCACTCTGTTTTACAAGCCCTTGGCGGGAAAGTATCATTTGTTCGGTATTTTAAGGCAGAAAATCACTTAGTTTAGTGCTTTGTATTTAACACTCACGTGTGTTGTCAGCATCAGCAGTGTAAGCAAAAGAAAAGCTGCATAAATCTGGTTTTATTTGCAAACTAAACAGACACTGTGGGGTAGTCAGGAGAGACTCAGTGACAACGTGTCTATTAAGCTCACAGAAAATAAGGGACTTTTGCTGCTTCAGTCAGGCCTAGGGAATATTTTGTGCTCTCTGTTGTAAAGTACCCTGAAACATAAATTTCCTGTACTCCTACTGGCATTTCAGAAATACCTCATTAGAAAGCTTTTCCCAATTAAAAGCCAATGATTAATGGTGACATTAAAAATACATTTACCCTTAAACAAGCTTGGTTTCTGTCTTAGGTATGATTTTTTAGAGAGCTGCAAAATGTACTGTTTTCCTTCCTAAGCAGCTCTTGGCATCAGTGACTGCAGGAGGGATCTCTGAGTTGTGTCCCAGAGCTCTGCAGAGCAGCAGCATCCAGAGGGCCCAGCCTGTCCCCAGGGGAGGCTGGTGTTGAACTGCACCCACACTCTCCAGTTCCACCCTGGGAAAAGCCAGAGGATGGGGGTTCCAAAGTAACTGAGCTGAGCTCCAATCTTTGTAAACAGACTCTGAGCTCTTTTCTCGCTGGAGAACGTGTGAAAGTCCTGCCTACGGGAGATCCTGGGAGATGAAATGTTGGCACAGAGCAGCAGCTGCCTCGAGGTGAGTACGGAGAGTCAGGTTAGTGCCAGCTCTGCAGTCTCAGGTTCATCCTTCCTAGCCCAGCTCAAACTGAAATGGTCTAATCTGATCTCAAACACACGGGCAGGGTAACCCAGCGGAAGGAGCAAGGTCTTGGGATGCAGAATCCCGAGCTTTATTCCTAGTAACAATTTCTCCAGCCTCCCCTTCCCTGTTGATAACATACTTCCCACTGCCAAAGGAGCAAGTAGTGGAAAATCACAATATGCCACGTAAGTGCTAAGATTCCTCCTCGACTGATGGGGGGTACAGTGACACGAGATGTTGTTTTAAGAACTCCACCAAAGTAAATTCATGAGCAAGTTTACGGCTCTGCTACACCTCACTCAGAGACTGCTCCTGGTAACCTCCCTCCTCTCCCATCCCTGCATTACAACTCTCTCCCTCCTCCTTCCTCTGTTATCACCCTGTGTGAAATTAATCTTTACCTGTCTCCAAGCATGTGGGAACAAAAGGGGCCATTTGGACTTTGATCTACCTGGTTCTCCTCCTTCCTCCTCCTGCTCCCCACGGCTGCCTGAGCCCCTTCTCCTGCCTGTCCTGGACAAGAGGCAGGATCGGATCCCGTGCTGGCGAAGGCAGGACCGCATCCCATCCCGGGGAAGGCAGGACCACATCCCGTGCCGGGGAAGGCAGGACAGGATCCCGTGCTGGGGAAGGCAGCAGTCGGATCCCGTTCTAGGGAAGGGAGCAGTTGGATCCCGTTCTAGGGAAGGGAGCAGTCGGATCCCGTGCTGCCCCCGCGCTGCCGGCAGGTGTCTCTGGAAGCTGCACATCCCGCCCGGCTCCGGGTACCGCACTGCTCCTGCCCCATCCCTGCCGGACCCGCAATGTGCTCTCTGCAAGGGAATCCCTGCATAGAAACAGCTGCTTTGGGGGTTTTTTTGGGTGTTGTGTCCTCGCTCAGGGACACAGCACAAAATACCTCCCTCTCAGGTGCCCTGTTCAAACCTGGCCGTGGGTGACAGTCCCTCTGCTCCGGCACTGCACAGCCGGGAGGGTCAATAACTCCCAGTTTATGTGACTGATGTGAAATCCTGGCAGCAGCTGAAATAAAACCATAGCAATCACCAAAACCAGTCCCTCAGTGGACACTCCTTCAGGAACACGTTGCTGACTGGGACAAGCTGGAACCATCAATGAGCAGGATGGGGAATGTTGCGGCTCTGACACGAGCCAGCAGCTCCAAGGACATCTGGAGGTGACAGGAAAGCCTGGCTGCTCCCAGCTCTGTGGCACTCCTGGGTGTGTTAGAAAACAACACAACCAGAACTCACGGTGCTCTGGAGAAACATAACAAGTTTTCACACTGTAATTTTTGTGATTAAAAACAATGATTATAAAAGCTTAAGCACTTGGTGCTGCTCCTGACTCCGTGGGCTGATCGATTCTTAGCAGACAACCTGCTCTGTGTGTGGAGGGAGGAGTGTGAGAGGGTTTGGTTGCTTCACTCCCAATAAATCTGGTACTGCTCTAAAGTCTGCCCTTTCTGGTCCCCAGGGCTCTTTGTAGACTTGCTCAGGACACAGAATGGGAGTCAGGGAGACGAACAACACTTTAAAAGAACAAGTCACAAGCTCAACCTCAGAGCTGTTTCCATCCAGTTCATGTGAACTCCATTAATCCGTGGATAAAGGACCAGAGAGGGGAGTCTGCATCACCTTGTTCAGCTCCTCCCACTCCTGAGCAGACCAAGAGCATGTTGGCCACGGGTAGGTTTATGAAGACACTGGTGGCTCTTGAACCTGTACCTTGCTGCTTCACCCCAGAGCACACACTGGCAGGCACAGAAACCTTCACTGGGGAGACACTGATGGGCATTAAGCAGCTTTCATCTGAGAAACCAAACTTAAAAATCAACTGGTGCATATTGTACTCCGGTAAAGTATTGGCAAAATAGTATGGAGGGCTTTTCTTTTGCAATCGGAATTTTCTACCAACATTTTGGAAGTTTTCCTAAAACTTCAAGGGAACTCCCATTCCTGGTCACCTCTGCTTAAAGGCATCTTCAATGAGAAAGGCTTGGCAACAGGTGAGGGAAGGAATGACTCTCCTGTGGGAGCAGAACTTCACCCCTCAAACCACAGCTATTTTTCCCACAGGAGGCAAAGAAGGGGGCAGGTGAGAAGCACTTGTGAATGTCCCCTGTGGAAGGACAGACTCCTACCAGCTCATGGGATCAAATGGCAGCACAGACAACACAGCTGGGAGAATAAAGCCCACAACAGAGACATTTTGCCACACAACTGCCCCAGGGCCTGTGAGATGAGCTGTGGAAGGCTCAGGGGGCTGTGCCTGGGCCCCAGCAGGGAAAGGGGACAAAGGAAAAGAGGAGCTTGTCTGGAGAGACTCTTCTGGCTGCTTTATCCAGCCCATCCAGTGGGTGGGTAAAGGGGAGAGAAAAGGAGGGTACCCCCACTCCTGGACTGTGGTTTGGCAGCTCTCTAAAGTGACAAGCAGATTAAGCACCTTACAGACAGGAGTACCTACAGGCACTGCTCGTGCCACAGATGGTCCCCTGTGGTCCCCAGGTCCCTGCAGGAACTGTGTGCACTGTGCCACAGCCCAGGGACACTGCTGGGCCTGGCCTTGGCCACCAGCAAAGAAAAAAGGCATCACTGCAACCACCTCTTGTTTGGAGCTCCTCAACAGCCACGGCCTCAGGGAGAGGCACCCTCAAAATGCAGTAGTCACCTTGAAAACAGTTCTATCTGTCTGACAATGATCACTGCAGCACCACAACACCATTTCCACTGCTGTGGGAAACCAGTGCTGCACACAACCTGACTGAACCCCACTGCCTCCAGTGGGCCTGGTCCCAGATGGATTGTATGGCTGTAAAGACTGGATAGTTCCCACCCTGGGCTGCTATAGGTGATCCTGGGCCCATTTTTCCAGGAAGAACCTGCAGGAAGAGTTGAGATCCTAGCTAGAGAGCTCACTGCAAGGCCAGGTGTTAGGTCAGCGTGGCCAGAAACAAAGTGAGAAAAGAACAGCACCTGATTGTCCTCTGATAAAACCACAAACGAACATTTACCCTCCTTTTCTTCATCCCTCAAAAAAGAAACCCCAGCCACACCCTCTTGCCACAGTAGGCTGGGGAGGGGAGACTAATTAATTAAAATCAAGTGAACCATGCACAGCAGACGTCACCCTTGGCTGGGTGTCCACAACACTCTAAGACTCCCAACGTTTGTAGTGCAATTTCATTTGAGCTGCAGTTGAAGCCCAGTCTCCATCACTCTGTGTGAGCAAGTTCTGCTGATTCCTCTGAAAGCTGTGCAAGACAAGATTCCCCACAGGCTGAAATACTTTCAGAACCATTCAAGTAATCAGACAGTGGCACTGGAATGGCTGGACAGTCAGATGTGGCCATGGAGACCAGGCTCAAGCTGCCCTGTGAGTACCATGTGAGTCTCTAATTAGCAAATGTCTGCTCTTTTTCCCTTTTAGTGTCCAGCAACACCGAGGAGATTCACTCTGCAATTGGCCCTGATTCCAGCACTGACCTGGAAAATACAGATACCTCCTGCAGAAGGTTGCTGTGTGCCAACAGCCCAGGCAGGGAGTGCCCAGGGCAGGGCACAAACCGCAGGGCACGGCCAGCCAGGACTGCAGAACCTGCTGGATTTGGGGACAAACTGATCAGCCCCTTCTTTCACGAGATCCTTAAGCACCTCCTCCAAGCACACACTTGTGTTGAGAAGAATCATCCTCCCCTAAGTTAAACACAAAAATAGATCCTCCATCTCCATTCATGCCACGCAGCTGACAGATGATTTCCGCTCTCCAGTTGTCTGTCCCGTGGTTTCAGGGAGGGGGAGGTAGCTTTAGATCCAGCAGGCTGTAGGCAAAAATGTTCCAGAAGATGGCAAACAAGACAAAAATGACATAAATAGAAAGGAAGATCCACCACAAAGTCTGATCTTGGAGTCTCTGCTCATAGTTCCTGAGGATGACGACTCCCAGGGTGATGCCCACCATGACCCCTCCCAGGTGGGCCATGAAGCTGGGGTGGGGGCACGGCGGGTACGCCGAGGGGTGGAACCGCAGCCACACGGCTCTCCCGAACTCAAAGCTCACTGCAACAGAGAAGGAGAGATCAGTTCACTGGCTGTCCCTTCTGGAGGCCACCTGGCAGGCAGCTCTGCACCCCTAAAGACACAGAGAGGGGGACATTGCCTGGCAGGGTGAGCTCAGGGAAGCCTGAGCTGTGGCAGGGCTGTGCTGCACAGACACGAGGTGTCCCCAGGGCTTGGGGAGTGTTGATAGGTGGGGGGATATTCACCTCCCAAAATTTATATCAAAACTATAAAAAAAACTGACTTGGAATTTGAAGACAGCTGTCTGTGATGATCACGTGGCTTAGTTTCCCTTATTGTGCCACCCTGGGGATGTGGCTGGAAGATAATTCACCAGTGTGTGGATAATGCTGCTGCCACCACAGACAGGAGGTGCTCCAGGAAGCCCAAGTATCCCCATTACCAAAGCAGTGCTTGTTTTAGCCATCCCAGGAGAAGGTGTTTAAGCCCCACATCCCCACAGACACCACGGGCTGGCTCATGACAAACCCTCATTCACAAACCCCTGTGCTGACAGCCCAAACCTGCTGCAAAGTCAAACCCTCCTGAGTCAGCAGGAGCTGTTGTGACCAGGACTGGCAGAGCAGGACCCCAGGGCTGTGTGGTACTCACTGCAGATGAGGGCGACAGCCATCCGCAGCAGCTTGAACTGGCACTTCATCCCCGACCAGTTCTGCAGGAGACACAAGGACAACAGAGCGGAGCTGCACCCACACCTGGCTGTCACTCTGGCATCTGTTCACTCACCGCTCCACACACACACCTGCCAGTCCCACAGCCCATGGCCACACAGGATGTGTGAGGTGCTGCAGCCCAGGCCTTCAGCTGAGCACACAGAAATGAGAAAGACCTCGGAAAAAGCATTAGCAAGGAAACAGAGCCATAAGAAAGCCTGGATTCAGCCTCCTCTGGCTTCAGGCTTGGCCATTAATCAGTACAGTGGAAGAAGAATCTCTGAATGATAATCAGAAATCACAGGAGTAATATTTAAATTCCTCCTTTCTCACTTGCACAAAATTTTCAAGTAGAAAAAGAGATCCTATCTTGGGAAACTCAGAAGTATGACTACACCATTATTATTATTATTCAGTGACTAAATGAAATTTCTCCCATTGAAAGCAGTCTGAGATACCAAGATAGGTCTCTTGTGAAAACCTCCCTGTTCATCACACTGAAGGAATAATAATAATAAAAAAAAAAGCTTGTAAACTCTTCAGCCTCACTTTAATGGCACCCAGTGACTCTTCAGCCTGCTGAAGAAATATTTTGCAATATGTATTACATATATTCAAGTTCGATGTGGGATCTGTCTGTAAATCACTTCTGGGGCTGCAAAAATGCAATCTCTACAAAATGAGTAACTCACTTTCTCTCTCTCCACAGAGGTACCCAACTCAGTCAGAAAGCTCTGAGCTTGCACTGATTAATACTGTGCTGCTCCCTCAGTTTTCATCTCCATGTAGCTGCCCTGAATTCCTCCCCTCCCTCTTTCCCTTGGGGTGACATGCTTTATTGCTTCCCCCTGTTGGTTAGTTTGTGTATTTAATTCCAGTAATATTTTTTTTACAAGCAGGAATGTTCCAATTTGCTCTCACTGCCAGGAGGCTCAGGGGAACAGGGGGATCAGGACACCCTCCCTGGAGCAGCCCCTCCTGTCCCAGCCCCCAAAGCACCTGTGCCAGCCCCAGTGTCCTTCAGCATCACATCTAGACAAGAAGGGAGCACAGACACAGGACAGGGGGAAAGAAAAGCACAAAAAACCCACCAAAACTCTCCAAAAGAACTGGAAAGGCAGTAAAAGTGATTTCAGATGATAAGAGAGGCAGTGGATAGCAGGGAAATACAGATGCTAAGGTTGCAATGGCTAAATAAAAAATAAATTTGGAGGAGGCTGATGGGCAGTGAAATGACAGACCACTTTGTGGTGTTTGAAGAAGTCTGGGGAGGTAACTGCTGCAGACACTCCATGTACCTCTGGCAGAGCCTCTTGCTGTAAAGCAATCCCAAATTTCCTCCAGTGTCCCAGTGTGATCCTGTGAATCGTGGTGTTAAACCCCCGTGTCTGCATTCCCACCCTGGGAGGCAGAGGCAGCTCCCTCCTGCTTCTGCTGGCACAGTGGCAGGGAGCACAAATCAGACTGAAAATAACTGCATCTAAGGAGGCAATTTCCCAGCAGAAACCCTGGGGCACAGGGCAGCCCCTCTCCTCCACTCCCTGCCTCTGCCAGCCCTCGAGTGTCCTGGTTTGGACACCAGCCCCAGCTCATTCATGCTCTGAAAAGCTTGAAGAAGGCAAAGGAGACCAGTTGTGCTCAGGAAATCACTCATTTCCCTGCTTCCAGCTGCTCCACAGCCTGTCTGCAGCAGCACCATTGTGGGGCCCAGCTGGAGCCTGCACTGAGCACAAGCTTTAAGCACAAGGTTTCCTTTTAGGCCCGACTCCAGGACCACCACACAGTCCCCTGTTTGCAGCACCCACACAACAGACCTTCTGTCCCTGCTGCAGCCAAGCCACGTTACCTTCCCACTCGGAGCCAGGGGAGGAGGATTATCATCATTTTTGTGGTTATTCTGCTCTGGCATTGCTGGTGCAGGACAGACATGCACCCCTGTGCCACCACACACAGTCCCCTCTCAGCAAAGCCCTTTGTGCCAGGGTGAGCTGAGGAGCCCCCCAGGCTCTGCCACCACCTGGTGAGGGCTGGGGACGAGCTCCTGCTTCCAGCTTTGGAGGAAAGGTGCTGCTGCTGTTTACTGACCTTTGGGAAGTATTTCATGAGGTGGAACAGCCAAAAGAGGCATCACTGGATCCCCCAGGGTTCAGCTCCAGGCTGGGTTTACAGATGGAGGTAAGGGACATTCTGCACACGAGTCCACTGAGCACATTTCCTTAGACATGGCACACGCACACAGAAACACATCTGCACCTTCTGCAGAGCCAGGCAGCTCCTTCTTCTCAAACACCTGGCAGCCCTTGCAAGGAGAGCAAGGAGAGCCTGGAGAACACTGGTAAGTCTTGGATTAGCAGCATCTTTGGCTTCTCCTGGTGAGCTGCCAACCCTCAGGGTACCGAGCCACCAGCTCCAGTGTCATATTCCCATTCCAGGAGCACACCACTGAGACAAGACTGAACTGGGACAAGCTCTGAACCACCAACGGCTGGGCCAGGCCTGATTTCCAAGCCCTTTGGGCCACCTGGCTCACTTTGGAGAGGTCAGACAGTCCTTCTGGTACTCACCATCACTATATTGGCCAAGTGAGCGGAGACAAGAGCATACACACCTCCAGAGGAGCCCACCACCGGCGCCCTCATGTCAGCCACCGACACCGCCAGGGACCCTGCGGGAAGAACCAGACTTTGGGACAACTGCCAGCCAAAAAAACAACCCCTCTCCTCCCCCACGTGCCTGCCACTGCCTGGCTGTGCTAATTGCTGCAGGTCAGTAATAGAGAAAGAGAAGGAGGGGGGATCGATTGGCTCGTGGAGCCACCTCAGTCCTGTAGAGCTGCCAGGACAGTGAGGGATTGATTCCTCTGCACCTACTTTAAAAGCAGCCAAGCAAGGCAGTGAAGTATCTTTAAACCTGTGCTGCACAAAGGCATTTATACCCTGATTGGAGTAACGAGGAAGCAGGGGACAGACAAATGTCCATGTCCTGTCTCTCCTCTAAAGATAAAATAGAAGGAGCTCCCATGGTGGCAAGACAAATATTTGCACAGGGAGAAGGAACTCGGGACTTGTAACTCAGCACAGGCCTCTGATCAACAAGCACAGCTTGTTACTTGTGAAGCTTCAGAGTAAAACCAGCTAAAAATAACCTGGATGGGGGCAGCAGACACATGACAGCACAGTGACAGGTCAGGTACATAAAGGCACCACTGGTAACAATGCACCCAAACACAGACACTGCTTCTCCTTATCCCAGCTGGAGGCTTGGATCTGCTCAAAGCTCCTTTCATTGCCAAATTTAAGAGTAATTTCAGAGCCAGAGAGACAAAGGCAGATGTGGTGTCACAAGGCAGGGATAATGAAGATCTTTTTGATGAGCAGGAAGGGAAAAAAGACACTTTGGCAAATCTTGAGAGAGTCCTTGGCAGGCCATAATCCAACAAACTTCTTTGCTAATTGCTCAGCTGATTCTGGGTCAAGGAAGTGCAGAGGTTCCACCAGCCAACTGTGCTGACAGCTCCCTCCTTCACTGTCTGGCCCTGAGACCCCTCAGCCCTTCAACACTGCCATTAAGGACAATGTTAATGAGCAATAAAGGAAGGAGTAATGAGAACTTGCAGTGATGTCCTCAGCCACTGCAATGACACTCTCAGTTCCAGCTCCAACGTGTCTGCTTGGTAATGGCAGGCAGATGAGAAAAACCCATGAAACTTGTGGCCCATGTTGACATTTCACTGTTTATTCCTGGCTGTTTAGGAGTTGAGTTATCCTTATATTGCCAGGTCTCCATCAGGAACATATCTGTGTCCCTCTGCTGGCACAAAGAATAAAGCATGTCCCACAACTGGTTGACAACTCCAGTGGGTATCGAGGGACGCTTTTCCGTGGGCACTGTCTGGTCACATTTGTAGCTCCAATCTGCACCAAGAAAGGAAGTTTTCCCTTTCCATTTGGCACTTTCTTCTAGAGTTTATGGGTTATAAGGTGGGAAAGGCAAGTCTGTGGCCTCAGGAATGTGAGAGGCAGCTGGAAACCCGCAGTGCTCACTGGGCTCCACTGCAGCAGGCTCGGGGTTCACCTGCCTCCCTCACCTGGGCCAGGGGAGTGTATCTACACACCCCAGTGAATCTCCAGGCTTTGGTGGATGTATCTACGTAGAAAAACTGGGAAGTTGCAAATTGGGAACCACTTCTGTGAGTGCTTGTTAAAGTCACAGTCCAGGGACAGTGGAGCTGGTCTGCTAATTCCTTTCTCTGCACTAAATAGTGTGGGGTTTGCACCATGCCTAGCCCTGTGTCCTAGGCCAATTACTCTTTCCACAGTCTCTCTCCTGGAATGTAGGATTTATTAGCACCCAACACAGCCCATTTTACAAAGGCTTTATCTGCTCATTATGGAAAAAAAATAATTACATAGCTGGGAAAAAACACCCAACCAAACCCCATAAATCTGGAACTGAGGCAGTCAGTCATCGCCTGAGCTCCACTGTGAAGCTTCTGGTTGTTCTCACACCCTCCTCCTGTTTTAATTAGATGTTGATCTATTGTCAGCTAACTTCCATCACCTCCAAACTGCTGGAAATTCCAAACATAAATAAAAGCAATACAGCACAAGCCGAAAATCAATCAAACCCCGTGATTGATTAAATGAATTTTCCAGATTCCTGTGCACTGCTCACAACCTACAACCAAACACTTCCTGCTTACTCAGGCTGTGGAAAGCTGCCAGGACAAATGGAGGCAGATCTGGCATGGGACCAGCATCACCTCCACACTCAGCAAGCCCCTCTAAAATAAGGCTGTGTTAAAGCAGCAGGTTGTTGGTGCTTTTTCAGGGGGTCTCCTAAACACAGAGTCTCTGGCTGGACAGAAATCCAGCTGTGCCGCATTTCCCACCGCAGCCCCAGAAGGATTCCAATGTACAGATCATCACTAACTGCTCTTCTCCTGATCCCAAATGCCACGAAACATTTCTCCTACACAGAAGTCAGCACAGGTTGTTTTCAGCTGCTTCTCCCCCTGGGGCACCACGAGGTGTCACCTACCTGCCACAACTCCCGCCACGTACACGAAGCTGATCCTGGCGGCCCCGTGCACCATTTCCAGGGGAACCCCAACCAACAGCTGCAGCACAACATTGAGGCCAAGGTGTTCTATCCTGCAGCAAGGAAAAACAACAGCTGTCCTCTCTTCCTGCTCCTTGGCTACCCTTGAGGCAGAGGCATCTTGGAAAGAACAAGTCAAACAGCACCCAATTCATGTAGGTAGATTGTAACGCTGGGAAAGACAAAGGTTCCTGAAAGAATCCAGGCCCAGAGCTGGGATGTGTCTTCCCTCCTTGCTGCTTTTATCTTTTTCACATCCACCCAGGTCCTTTCAGCCAAAGACCTCAGAGAATGTTTGGCTCTTAGTTAGACTTCCCCCCCACACCTTTTTTCTTTGTTTGAAGGAGTTAAATGACTTGTCAAAAAAAAGCAGCAAGATGGCAGCAGAGCCTGGAACAGAAGGCAGAAATTTGACCTGCTCTTCTCCCCTCCTTTCCCTGCACATCACAGAGCCTTGATTGGGGGTGGGGGGTGTTGAGCCTGGAAGTTCCAAGGCAGTTGTACCATAATGCTGCTTTACAGTGTGTGCTGCCTGGCTCTTTTCTGATTCCATGTGATGTGGGTCAGGATGGGAAGCACAGGGCATTCTGGTCTCTGCTCAGGGCCCAGGTGTATTCCCTGAAGCTCTCTCTTCACCTGCCCTCGTTCCCAGTACCATCCATAGCAAAACTCCTGCTGCCCACCATGGGAAAAGCTGAGGGGACTCTTGGGGAAAAGCCCTGTCCCAGTGGGCAGAGGCACCTGCAGAGAGGGCAGAGTGTGACAGCTCAGATGGGCAGCTTGGGTAGAGACTCCAGGGAGCAGCCTTTGCCTGAGCTGAATCAAGAGTTTCAAAGCAAGTTCTTCGTTGCTCTCATCAATACAACTCAACAAAACTGCCCTGCCACTTTCCAAAGCTCTGTACAAACATTTTCCATCTGCAGGGTCTCCCAGTGAGGTAACAACAGCACCAGGGCCCTGAACAGGGTCCCCAGCACCGAGGTAGTGCCTGAGATTTAGCCTGGGCTCACAGGGCTGTGACATCCCACTGGAGCCAGTTATCCTGCTTTTTGTATGGAGAGTCCCTGAGTCTGCTTACAAAGCAGGTGGATCTAATGACACAGTGGTACCTTTACACAGAAGGATTGCATCTTTTTGGGGAAAAGAGAGCAAGGTAACTAATGCTGTGAAAGCCTACATCCCATTTTGCACAAGGAAAAGGGTTGCTCACAGGCAGCCACCAGCAATCTTTGGTTTGAGTTCTATGCATTTCCACTGTTTTGGTCTTTTTTTCGTGTTACCATAGCAATTTCCCATATACATGAGGGAAAAACACTGCTGGTGAGATGCAGTAATGACAGAACACTCTCATAAACGAGAATTTAAAGTGGGACCGGAAAAAACTGCTAGAAATGATACTGCAGGAAACAGCCCTTTCCTGGCATCTTATTATTTTTGTTTCCACTGAATTTCTCTCCAAAGATAAATTTCTCTCCTGCACAAGGCACTCAGCACTGCAGTTTGTCACCAGGGGAAGCTGCTGCTCTGAACTCAGCTCTTTTATTCCCTTCCTCAAGGCTTGGGGAAGCCACTGGCCATGGTCATGGTCTGGTCACAGAGCTCAGGAACTGCTTCAGGAACAACCAGCAAAGGTCAGACTGAGATCACAGGGGGCAGCCAAAGCAGCCCAGTGCCCTTTCCCAGAGGGGAGGGCAGGAGCCCTGGCTGGCACACAACGTCCTGAGGTGCCACCTGACACTCTCACACAAAGCACTGGCTGGGTTTTTCACAGCAAGTTTTTGTAAGGGCTCAGCAAAGTTCCTCCTGGACTCTAAAGGGACTCTAGATTCCCAGCTGTTCCTAAAAGGCTTCCCAGGAGCAGTGCCATTCGCTTCTCTTCCCCATCATGGTAAGAGCTTTGAAGGCTCCACAGTCAATAAGAACCCATAAAATATAATTACCCTTTGCCAGTGCTGAATGTGTCATTCTTGAAATGACAATTTCATTGATTTATTCAAGACTTTCTCCTTCCCTGGGACCAAACAAATGGGGCTGAGCATCAATGCAAGCCATTAGTTATGGCAGCGATACAAATGTGTGGGCTGCAGATAATCAACGGCTGCTTTTCATGAAGGCAGAAGGGCAGGATTTACAACTTTGCCTTTTCAGCCTTGGACAAAGCTGCCTCCACCAGGACCAACACACAGCCTGTACATTTTTGGAATCTTTCTAGAGGCACAGCCAGCCAAGCCTTAGCAACTGCTGCCTTCCCCAACACCTTCCTGCTGCCGCTGGCTCTTCAAAAAAACACCCAGTGCACTAAATTAAGGAGCAGCTCACATTTCCATTTAAAAGTCTCAGCTGGAAGCAGGATAACAATGGACCCATGGCATTGTGTTATCCTCCCGTTTGGAAACCAGAGGAGAATGATGGGCAGCCACTAAAAATGTTATTACCTTTCCAAGATTTATCTGTTTTCCTCCTGAGAAAGGAGCTTCACACACAGAAGTCAGCACTAAAGGAACATTTAGCTTAACTCCCCACACTGCAGATAAATCACAGGGTTTATTGTTCCAGGGGGACTCTCCGTTGTTTTTAAGGCTGTGTAGCCAAAGGACTTGGAATCCATCACCACAGGGAGTCCTCTGCTCAGTACCTTCCCTGCTGCTCCACCCTGGGCCAGCCAAGAGGTGACACAACCCTGGGAGCGTGAGGAGTGCTCTGCCTGCTCCAGGGAAGGGTGAGCCGGCACAGCTCAGGGAAGCAGGACACAAAAAGTGTCCCCTGTGCAGGTGCTTCTCTGCAAACAGATCCCAAAGCAACCTGTGGTGGTGTGAGTGATGCAGTCAAACACCACCAGCAGCACAAAGCCCCAATACAAATCAACTTTTTCCTGCTCTTCCCTTGAGTGGAGTCTGTTCTGTCCTGTGATTTTTATCCAGAGATTTGGGGCACATCTTGTGCTCTGGGGCAATTACACCCCATGGCAGAGAAGAGACATCAGCATATCTTCCATCAGAAGCATGGAAAAAGAAAAAGATCAGCTTGATCTTTCATAGGAGAACATTGACTGATGGGAATTTAGGCTCTCTATCTAAGAACAAAGGGTCCTTATGCAGTTTCAGACTCTAAACTACTGCTAAAAGGCTTGTTGCTGTAATTTTGTCAATGACAGAATTAAAGAAAATTGCAATTATCTGCTAGGAATGTGCAAAGATAATGATCTGAGAAACTGCTCTGTTTTGTAGAGGGATGAACTTTCCTGTGGCACTCACTCATCACCATGGCATCAGAAACATCACACAGCTGAGTCTGAATTTTGGGAGGGTTAGAACAGAGTTAGGATCCCCACACTTTTTATTCTTTTCCCAAATCTGCTACATATGAATGTAGAGGGAATCATTTTACTGTGCATTTAACATGAGGTGGCCCTTCCTCTGTCCACGTGGTCAGGGGATTGTCACCCTTTGGGAACACTGGTGTTTGTACTGTGGGCACCCACTGGCAGCTCAGTCTTGGCTTCCAGGCATTACCTCAGTCCCGGCAGGAGGGACATTCCTGAGCGATGACACATCACAGTGGCTCTTCCAACCCCAGCTAGGCAGTCTAGCAAGAACACACCCCTGCAGTGTTTAAATGCCAGTCCAGCATCCTTGCAGATTGTCCTGCCACCTGCCCAGCTCCTTCAGTGGGACACTGGTGAGCTTTGGTACAAGCTGCTGAGTTCTGGGAAGTGGACAGCAAGAGGGGGGTGTGGTGCCAGCACTGCTGGGGAGAAGAGCTTAATTCCCCTTAAATTCCTCACGTTGCCTTCTCCCTTCAGGGAGCTGCAAAGGGATGCCCCTCACGGCCCAACACTCCACAACAGCTTGGGGTTTTTACACACAATTTAGAATTGATTTTTAAAAATTTATTTCTGAGCTGATTCTGTCCCTTCCTCCTCCTCCTCCTCCTCCTCCTCCTCCTCCCTGTCTCTGGGGAAGCTGAGTGTGGGGAATCTCCAGTTTGCCAGTACTCACCCTGCATGCATGAATATGTAGGTTAGGTACCTCCAAGCCTGAGCACGGAGCTGGGGATGGTACAACAGTGCATTCTTCAGGTACAGGGGGTGGCTGACCTGCAGCACAAATCTGTCCAACACCACTCCATTGTAAAGGAAAAAGGCAACCTAGGAGAGCAGAGAGATTCCTTGGTGAACAAATGCCTTTTCTCACTGAAAAGCACTTTGTAGCTCAAAATCATTGAGAAATAAGTTGCACAGACAATAATTCTTCTCTCATTTGACAGCTTCACACAGCACAGAAGTTGCCTGTTTTGAGGAACCTGCAGCACATGGAGATAACTTTATACATGGCCTTCTGTAACACAGCAGCCACTGAGTCAGGAACTCAGCACCGACTGATCAGGGCCATGTTATATCCTCCTCTCCAGAACATTCCTCAGCAACTGGGCCGAGATCTCATCTGGGCAAAAAGATGAGCAGGTCAGAATATTTAACCCAGTTTCTCTCCCCTCCTTTTTCTCTCCATTCACAGAAGAGAGGCAGCCATACAAGAATTTGTCTTCCAACCCTACTACTGAAATACCAGTTTCCTTGGAACTGCCCAGTTCTCACTCCTCAGGAAGTTTTGCTGTGGTTTCCCAGGTTCTGTAGTGTCACATACAAATGGTTTCAGTGACAGTTTCCCAGGTTCTGTCACACACAGACATTTTCAATGACAGGATCACAGTTCCACTCACACCCACCCCTGACAGTGGCCACGAGCTTTGCGTTTGTCCCCGCCCGGATCTGAAGGAGTCCCACTCCAACCCTTGTTTGTGTCCCAGCAGAGCCTTTGGCAGCGTGGGGAGGGTTCCCAGAGGCTTTTGGGGTACTTGCCTCCACAATGGTGATGGTGATCATGAACCAGGGCGGGGGGCAGCAGGTGTAGCTGTCGTAGTACCACTTGCGGTCGATCTCGCGCGGCAGGGTCTCGTAGGCCACGTGGCGGATCAGCCTCTGCGAGAGGCTCAGCCCCGTCTCCTCCAGCAGGGCCTTGCTGCACAGCCTCCTGTTCCCCTGCAGGATGGCCTGGCGGAAGCTGTTCGACCTCTTGTTGCTCATCTGGGGCAAGGAGAGAAGGAAGAAGCCGTGAGGGCAGAGCCAGGCCTGGCACAGCCACCCCAGGGAGAACCAGCGGGTTTGGCAGCAGAGGCACCACCGGGCTGAGCTTCATGGCTGAGCCCCGGGATCACCACAGGGGGGAAAACCAGTACCAGGGGCTGCCATGCTGATGCCAATAAACGAGGTCAGGGCACAACAGAGGCTGCTGATGCACCCGGCTGAGCTCCCTGGCCCGTTCCCCAGCCTCCCATCCGCTGCCTTCACCATCAGTTATCGCGATCCACATTCCTGTGTCCCCCTTCCCTGCTCAGTCTCACTTCCCTGCACCTGTCATCTCTTGGGGTAGAAAGTTCCTCCAGTGCAGCAGCAGGTACATTGACAGCACCTCTAACCCTCATGGCAGGAGTTGTCTCTGGGCAAAGAAAATCATCTCTTTGTGTAGAACAAAACTGCACAAGCAACAGCAAGAGAACATCAAGTTACCTGTGTGTACAGGCTGATTTAGGTCCCATAAACCTGGAAGTCTTTACAAGGCTTCTTTTAAAAGTTGTCCTCAGAGGGGGCAGGTTCTGAGATGGAGCAGGCTCACAGATCATTTCTATATGCATTATCACCTTACATGCAGAGATTTAGCTGTCTATCTTTTTGAGCACACACTTGCCCAATTTGGATGCATAATTAAAGCAATTGCATTTGCAAATTAGGCAGATGGAATTTTACGCCGAGCCTGCTGGGGGCGGGGGAACAAACCAGGTCTGAAAGAGCTTGCTCCAAGATTTGGATAATTGCTAATTAGCCCTGATGTCAAACAAACCTCCTGCAATAGAGTCACTGTCTGCACTGGCTGAATCTTTGGCAGGAAGCTCCAAGGCCTCACTGTGCACACAGAGCACTGCAGAGGAACCTTTTACAGCAAACAGGCAGCAAAGCAAACATGACAGCCTGGTCCTTTTCTGAGAGGACTGCTAAACGCTCCCAGCAGCATCTGCAGCCTCCCAGAATGGAGGAAGAGATGACACTCAACACCACTGGCTCCCAGTTGTCTTGGATCACGCTGGTTCCGGCTGATACCCCAAAGCCAGCAAAGCCCAGTGCCCAGTCAGATGGGGAATTGCTCCAAGCTGGACCAAGCTGCTTAAAACACAGTAATCACTGCAGGGAGCCACCTCCTGTTAATCACTGCAGGAAGGCCAGGGGCCATCTGAGGTGATGGCTCTGCACCCACTCACCCAGAGCCTTCCCAGCCCTCCTGAGCCTTCAGTTTGCAGCCTGTCCCTCCAGCACACAGGAACACTGACAGGCAACTGATGTTCTTCCGTTTTTAAAAACTTGGGAAAAATTTGTAGTTGTTGCTGTTCTCTTTGAGTTCTTTCAGTGAGAAGATGGTTTACCCTAATGGCTCTCTCCTTTTTGGTATTTCTCTTTTCTCTGTCTTCACTCATTCAGAAAACAGTTGTAAAACAACAACATTTCTGGCAAAAGAAGCAGAAAAGGCGAAGAAGGAGAAAAAAGGTCCAAAAAGATCTTTCTTCCAGTCTTCTCAAGTCTATCACCCAAAAGCTTTTATTTAAAGCTGGGGAATATGAGGGGAAAAAAATTGTTGGTGATTTTCTGTTGCATTAATAAAGCCCATTTATATCAAAAGCCATTATTGTCACAGAGAAACATCCTGCAGGTATAAGGCTTTCCTTAGGATGTGTGAGATGCTTTTTGGAAGGTAACAGATGTACCTCTGTTTCACAGGTACCTTCAGCCACCTGGTGACCTCTCTGCAGAAGAAAGCTTCACTCCAGGTTAGCTCAGAGCCCTCCTGTGAGTGCTCCCTCACCCAGTTCAGTCTGTTCTCTCTGCCTTTGTTCCTCTTGTGGACAAGAATAAAACCAGACTGAAACTACAGACTGGCCTGAAGATACCAGACAGTTGATTGAAGCTGCTGATTTGCTTATTCTAATTACAGTGCTATATGTGATTTCCTGCCTTCCCCCAAACAGTCAGTGCTTTTCCCTGCTGCAGCATTCAGTGGGAAATAGGATTGTTCCCAGAGCCAAGGAAAATCATGGTTGCAGTTCAGCATGCACAAGTGCTGACCACCCTCAGCAGATCATCCCTACAGAGACTGCCAAGACAGATGGGCAGGAACTGCAAAGGCTGCTGATGTTCATGTCTGTGCTGAGCTCTTAACAACCATTTCCTTGTGTCTGTTGAGCAGAGGATCCAACACAGGCACTGCTGAACCCTCTGTTACTGCTGAGCAGGACTGCCAGGGCTCAAGGAAACCCCACAGTCCTGGCACTCACAGAACCCCCCAGGCCTTTGGGTCCGGTGAGGAGGAGATGGACATGAGCAGAGACAAGAGGATTAAGTCACTGCTGCTGCTCTCACCAGCTCTTAATGAGAAGCCTGTTTTGTTCCTCAGACTGGCTTTGGAAAGCTCAAGTCTTCCCAAACAGAGTCTCACATATGGTCACAATTTGCTGACTTGATTTTGGAATTACATAATATTGGTATTTATGAGCCAAGTATTTAATCATCAGCTGAAAGAACACTGGGCCCACTGTTGGCCTGCACGCTGCTGCAGCTCCAGAACCCATGGCACCACATCCCACTCCTCCTCATGCAACTGGTCTGTGACTCCTGTAATGAGTGTGACATCAAAGCTGCAAGCAGATGGGCACAGCCAACTGTGTGTGGAGAGTGAAGGGAGCCCTGGGGAAACAACACATTCCCTCAGTCCCTCAGGCCTGCAGAGAGAAAGAAATTTCCCTTGCAGAACAGCCCAGCTGACCTTCCTGTCACCCAGGAGCTGCCACCTCTGCCCTCTGGCATTACCATCTCCAAACAAAGCCAGGCTTAGTGCTCCAGCTCCCTCAAAGGCTGGGTTTGGGACCTCTGTCCCAAAGGAAAATATTTTCCTACATAGACCCATCTCTGTCTTCAACACTGAAAACATCAAAACTCAGGAAGAGTCCTCGCTGTCTAATTGGGACAGAGCCAAACTTTGGGAAAGTGAAAGTCTGGAACTGGGCTGGGTTAATCTGCAGCCTGCAATGGGAGCTGTCCATCCCTCTGGAGCTCCTCTGTGCTCCCTGTGCTGCTGGGGCTCCCTCAGGCACTCAGGCAGCATTTCCCCATCTCCACTCTCACAGTGTGTGTGGGGCACAGGACCCTTTCATGGTTTTTTCCAGCCTGGCTCAGGAGGTTTGGGAAGATGTGGATTTCTGCCCATCACGTGTTGGCACCTCTGAGGCTGGTCTGGAGCTACTTTTAAACACACCCAGCTCTGGGACAGGCCTGGCACCCAGCTCTGATCCTCCAAGACACACAACACTAAATCAGAAGTTAGCACAAGCTTTTTAAAAAGCTCTGCCAGCTCCAGTTTTATAACCCACTTTACTTCCAAATGCAACCTCTCCAATCAATTTGGCTTTCAAGATTCACATTTATTTCCTTCCCTCGCTCCACACTTCTACAAAATGCTAATGTGGGTAGAGCTGGCTTTTCCCAAAGCTCGTAGCTCAGCAGCAAGTTCATCTGTCACAGATGTTCACATCCTCTGAGTCAACCTGGTGGCACTTTCCCAAACAGGATCAACTGGGAAAAAAGCAAATACCAACATCCTGATTTGGTCTGACCAAGCAGGGGTTAATCAAAGAAAAAGAGGCAGGAGAGACCAAATAAATTATCCTGGTCATTGCAGGGGTCTTCCCTGTTCAAGGTTTTGCCTGTTAAATGTGCCAGGCTTAGACCCCCCAGCATTCCCAAGAGAAAAGGAAAACCACTTTCAGATTCCAAGGGTAGTTGCTTGCAGGACAAGACCAACACTGCGCTCCAAACAACAGCAAGTCTGAAACTTCAAACCCCCAATACCTGTTCCAGTTCCCATGGGTGCTGGGAAGGATTCCACAACTGAAATTCATCCAGATCAATTTTCTGAAGCAACTTTTTTAAAGAAAAAGATATCTTTATAAAATTTCCCACCATGTGTGTATTTTAGATATGTACACAATTAAAACTCCCATTTAAGCTGACATTGCACTTCTCTGGTTTCAAATGTATGTGACTGAAAGCAGCTGAGGAATCATGGCTAGGGATGGAAATTTCTGTGCTAAGTTTCACTTTAATTGGCATCATGATTGTTTGCCAGACTAGTTTACTTGGAAGAAAGTCCTCTCCTCTGCTGCTACTTTTAGCCAGTATCTAATAGACTTAAGGTTAATCATCCTTGAATGGAGAGCACCTTAAAATATCTTTCTGTGCTGCGTTACAGACTCTCACAAGTGTATGGAGGTGTTAAACTAGAGTGGGAATCAATTGTTTTGCTGTATTTTTTCTTTAGGATGAGACATGATGCACAAAGGGCAAGTCAAAGCCTCCAGCTCGTTTCCCACTTCTTCCAGGATCCACTTTGGACTCATCGCTTTTGTTTGTGGCCTGTAACACAATCCCAAAGGATTTTATCCCTTCCTGCCCTTCTCTTCAAACACCTACACAGATCCCCAGGGCAGAGAAGTGGCTGCCCAGAGTCTCACTGTGTGTGCTCGTGGGTGAAATGCAAAGGTGAGCCCAGCAGAGAGGCACGAGATGCCTCCACCTGCAGAGGGGACACTTTGTTACTCTGCACTGTCCCAGACACAGGACAAGAAGCCCCATCTGAAAGTGCTTTGTGGTGTTCTTGCAAGCCCCAGTGCAGAAACAGAAATGGGTATGATTGCAGCATTGTGTTTTACAACCACACGAGATGAATTTCATGCATACAGAGGAGCAGGAATTTCCAGTGAGTTGCTTATCTGATTTTTTTCAGCCTTTTCTGTTTGCAGATCACACCAGGAGCCTTCAGCTTCCCTGAATTTATTCATTACTCAATTTATTTCCTGAGTGATTTCCAGGGTCTGTTCTCATATTGTACAACTTTCAATTTCAGAAATGTAAGTTGTTTGGCTGAGCTGAGAACAGGCACGTGTGTGGATGTCCTTATTAAGGTCAGGAGTCCTATAATGACATTTTTGGAGCATCTGGAAGTTCACAAAGCAATCTGACATCAGAGGATAACACAGCTTTGCTCAATAACAGTCCTTTAGCTGGGGATCAAGCAGAGTTCTTGGTGCTCATGATGATGCTGGAGAAAAGGAATCCCACACACACAGGGTGCTTGTAAAACCTCTGCATTTAATAAAAGGGCAGCCTTTCCTCACACCCAGCACCATCAGTTTTGGGAGCAGGTCAATTCTTCCTAAGCTGCTGATACAGACAAATTAACCTGAGCAAAAAGCAGAGATGGCTGATGATCATCAAGCACAAACATGCACCTAAACACCCCCATACAGAGTTTCCAGAACTGACAGCTGTGAAGCGAAGGAAAATCCTGAATTTTACAGGGATCCTGGGTCAACTGTGCTGTTTCTTTCCATCAGGAAGTTCAAAAGGCAGGGAAAAGAGAAGGAGCCCTAATAAAGTTTGGATGTAGGGAATCAATAGGAAGTAGAGAAGTGAGATGTCATTTGTAAGTAGTTTAATGCTCTGGCATTTGCACTGCTTATTGATTGGAAAGTGCAAAAAAAATGCAGACAAAGATGGAGGGGTTGAGGACAGGAAAATCAATGGCTTCTTTACAGAGTCATTCAATAGCAGTGAAGGAAATTTGCCTTTTGCAGAAATCCCCTCAGGTGGTGTGAGCTGGCAGGATCCCCTATTCCCAAAGGGGGAAGTGTCCAAGTGCTTCATTCCCACCTGCCTCTCATCCTCACGCTGCTCCCGAGCCCAGGGCAGCGAGGAGGGAGGAAAAGGCCCAGTTCTGCTCCTGGTGCCAACACGTGGGCTGGCCCTGGGCCACCATTTCTGGACAAGAAATGAGATGACACCTCGTCCTGCTACCCAAGTGCTGTGCAGCCCAAGTAGTGAATGCCTGCACGGGACTTTGAATATCCCAAACTGCAGAACAGCAGCTGTTGCTGGAAATACACTGCTCATGGCCCACACTGTTGGTTGTGCTGGAGCTGAGGACAACCCCACACTGCTGGGCTCTCTGTAACATTTCTGTCACTGTGTCCCCAGGCCCTGGCAAGGGGGCTGCCCAGACAGCCTGGTGGGACACAGCAGGTTTGGGACTGCATCACAGTAATGTCACCTCGACAGTGCCCGTGGCCTGAGCTGTGACCTGGATCCTTCAGTGCTGGGCCATGTAATCACACTGCTCTGGTCAGTGTGAAGTCAGTATACACAGAAGACACTTTCCTTCTAAACCCAAAGCACATGCATGAGTGACCAGGACAAACGACCACCCTCTGCAGCCAGAACACATCCAGCTTTCCAGGGATACCTCAGAGACATTATCTTCCACTGCTCAGTGACTTTGTCTCACCCAGGTTTATCTCCCTGCTGCTCTACAGCTGCTGGCACTCAGGTGTGCAAAGGCAAAGCCCCTGACTGGCCACTGCTCTTGCAAACAACATTTCTAGGCCATCCTGGACACCTGACAACACATGTCTACGTTTGTGTTGACTCATCAAACAGCCCTGAGGAGAAACAGAGCCATCCCTTCACTAATTGACTCATTAATAGAGATAGAGAGGCATCCAGATCATGACTCATGCAGTCTGAGACATCTCACCTGGGATAAAATGAACGTGACCTAGAAATAATTCCTCCCTGCTGTTGATGCCTAGAGCAGTGCAATGTGACTCCACCCAGCACGTCAACACAATGTTATCTGTACATTTTTGTCTGTAAGTGGTGAAATTTCTAGATAAAACAGGAGACACCCAGACTGAGACACTCTTGCAAACAAATGGCTCCTTGTTGCAGCTAACAAGTGATATTGAGGGCAAAAGCCTCTAAACCAGCAGCAGACATCGCTTCATGATCTTCTTACAATGGCTCCCACAGTTCCTTCCCATGCAAATTTGTTTCCCTGGAAAAATCAGCAGCAACTCGACTCTTGGCTTAAGGGTTCAGTCACCACTGAGCGTTTCAGCAAGTCCAAGCAGAATGTGGTGCAGGGACACAGCAAACACTGGTGTCGATAGAGGGAGGGAAAGGGAGAGAGCGAGTGTGTCCCTGCACAGCCCCTGCTTGCAGCAGAGCCCAGGGCTGCCAGGCCCTGCCAGCCACACACTCACCAGGTTGACGAAGTCCTGGTAGCAGATCCTGCCCTCAGAGTTGCTGTCAGCCAGGGCCAGCAGCACCTCCAGCTTGTGGGGGTCGAGCTCCGAGCCGTGCCTCTGGAGGAGGGAGCGGAACTTGTCGGTGCTGATGTAGCCGGTGTTGTCAGGGTCGAACTGGGACGGGAGGGGAAAGGGCCAGAGTTAACCACTCCATGTTCCACACACCTCTGCCCTCCTGTGCACCCATCACCCCCTGCACACCCCCAGGGGCTGCTCCAGGCTTTGGGGACACTGCCCTGCAGTCACTCAGGGGCTGCTGCAGAGAGAGGTGAGCACAGGCACCATCGTCCACACCACCATCCCATCTCCACCCAAGCTTCTGCTACGTCCTCTCCCTTCACCTTCCTTCCCTCTGCATCATCATTTCTCTTATCTGTTTTTTACATCCCTCTCTATCTGGACCATCAAGCAAAACAGAGATGCAGTCTGTGAGATAAAACATACTGAAAATGGTTTTACTCCTCTATTTCCTAACACAGTTGCACCACATGAATATGCCACCCCTCCTCGAGCCCTTTCTGTGCTCAGAGTTTCTGACAGTCACCTTTCCAGATCACCTCTACAGATGCCATCACGATGGTAAATGCTTTCACTGCTGAAGAGCTATTTTAAGATGTTTTGGAGGGAAAGTCTTTGGACAGGGAGCAGAGCAGATGAACATTATGTCAAAGCAAAAGTGACAAGGCAGCCACGTGCCACTTGGAGAACGTGAACCAGAGTCAGTAGAAGGAAAGTGCCAGGTGAGGTCTGGAGGGACTCCCACTCTGACCAAAAACATCACTGTTTTCCCTCAGACTACGTGGTTAATCTAAAAATGCCACTGACTGAAGGGAGACACCTTCACAAGGCCGTGCAAAGCGAGGGCTGTTCCAGCAGGCTCTGGCCATGCTGAGCTCCCCAGGGCCCTGAGCTGGGCACAGTCTGACAAAGCCAGGCTGGCACCATGCCCAGCACTGTTCTTTGGTGCTTGGCAAACGAGTGGCTGCAAGCTGCCAGGCCAGCCCTCACCAGCCCTGTGCAGTCTGATCTGCACCAGCTCCCTGTTGCTGGGAGATTTGCCTTTGATTTCCCAAACTTGGCTGTGAGGACCCTGGTGCTCAGTGGCCTCCTTTTGTAGATAATGATATCAAGCTTGTTGGCTGGATTGAATGGCTGTCAGGGGGCAGGGTGGGCAGGAGGGAGTCTTTTCATGGAAACATTTGGGACATAAAGGGGCCTTGGCAGAGCCAAAAAGGTCCTGACAATCCTTGCTCTTTCCTAATGGAGAACAAAAGCCGAGCAGGCGCCGGGCCCTCGCTCAGACACTGCCTTGGCACGGGAGGAGGTGGGAGGAGGATTTGGCAGAGGGTGCAGCCTGCCAGCAGCAGGGCTGGCACAGGGAGCACAACAGCTCTAAAACAGCCTCAGCCACGGGCAGCTTGTTTCGAGGATGCAGTGCCCACGTGTGAGGATCTGGCTCCATCTCCTCCTGGCCCCAGCACCTCCGTGCTGCTGCTCCCGGGCACTCTGCTGGGCTGAGGAGGGGCTGTCTGACCTGGGCAGGGGAGATCCCAGCTCCTGGCTGGATTAGGGCTGCCTGCCCTTTGTCAAAGCAGCAGCCCCTCTGGGAGGAGCCCGGGGATTACACAAAGTGAGATAAACCAAGTGACCTGTGGGCAGGCAGAGCAGGGCACTCTCCCCTGCTCTCTGCAAGGGTTGTCCTGTCCTTGTGAGGAGCCCTGGATGTTCCTCCCTGACAGCTGGCACTCAGAGCCAAAGGTGGATTTCATCAGCTGTTTACTGTTAAACAAGGGCTTAATAATAATCCCTGGAGGAGTTGAGCTCTGGCCCACTCTGATGCTTGGAGTTCACAGATCAAACTCGAAAACCAACCCCAGAAGTCAGGGCCTCTGACCTGGGCTCAGCTCTGTTGCTTTTTGGCTCCTGCTGGGACTCCCAAGCCAGTCTAAGTTTGCAGTGCCCAATCCCAGAGACACATCCCCAGGAAATGAAGGATTATTAGCATAACACCTGAGGTGACCTTTCTCAAGGGGAATTTGCAGAAGCTGGGAGATGAGTCATTCAGTGAATGGATCTAAGACCTGCAATCCCATAAATACTGCCTCTTTGTTTCCTGAAAACATCTGACCTAACCAACATCTTACTTAACAGCACCACTTTATCTTGCCATTTAAGGTGTCAGAACCTCTCTTGCCTAGGACAGAACCACTTGCTCCTTGAAGGCGTAAATCCCTCTCTACTTTGAGGGCCAGGGTCGGTGACTGAAGTGGTTTTCCAAAGGCACACTGAAGCCTGTCTGGTGGCTGCAGTCGAGCCCTTGCTCCAAGGATGCTTCTTTCTCATACCAGCAGGCACCAGCATTCCTCCCCCAGCTCCAGGTCTTGCTGCCTGTCCCACCCGAGTCAAAGCAGTGGCAGAAGGCAGCTGGTGTTTTCAGTAGTGCAAACAGCCTAGGCAGCCTGTTCTTCTCTGCCACACTATTATGTATAATTATTTGTTGGCATTATGATAATGATACTAATTAGAAATAGGTTTGAAGTAAAGCAGTGGATCTGAACAGCATGAAAAAGTAAGAGGGGAACAATAAACAACCGATATCCGAAATAAAAGGCCTCAGAGCAGGGCCAGAGCACGTCTTCCACAGCCTGGAGCAGAACGTTCTGCTCTGAGACCCACCTGCAAGGGAGCTCTCTTATTTATGTCTAAACAACTTTTTAATCGTACAACAATTCTTTTAGGATATAAAAATCTCATCTGTCACCACAGAACTCAAAATCCACAACACCGCTTAAAACTGCCTCGAACCCTGTTTCTGATGTCACAGCTGGCCACAAAAATCAAGGGGCTGAGCTGTTCCTGAGGATCCTGTGTGGATCCACATACTCAGCAAATCACCAATGTGCTGAGTTGGAAGGGACCCACAAGCATCACTGAGTCCAACTGCTGGCCCTGCACAGGACCATCCCCAACAGTCACACCACGTGCCTGAGAGAGCTGTGCAAATGCTTTTTGAGCTGGCTTCCCCTCCAGACCCGTCCCCGTCCCCGTTGCCCCCTCTGGACACTCTCTAATGCCCTTTTTGTACTGTGGTGCCCCAAACTGCCCGCAGTGAGCAGAGGGCACTCAAGGTGAAGCTGCAGCGGTGCAAGAACACAGGACACCAGACTCAAAGCCCTGGGGTCCACCAGGTATAAAAGAGGCAGAACTGACCTTCACAAGGCGTTTCATGTGTCTGTCCATGAGGGTGTCGTTGCTGTCCCGCCAGCCCAGCCCGGCACTCCGTGTGCCCCGGGGCCAGCAGGCAGTGCCGGGGGGCAGGAGCGGGGCTGTGCCCAGCGGCCCCAGCCCCACCGGGAGCGCTCCCACGGCACGGGCACACGGAGCTTTCCTCCCGCGCGGTCCCTCCCGCCCGTGCCCGTCCACCGGGGCACACAGAGCATCCCAACGTGGCGGGATGAGGAAGGCCCTTTGCCCCCCCTCGTCCCCCCGGACAATGGGACACTAACGGCGATTTCATGCAAGGTTTGCTCCGCATTTCAATGACAATCACCCTTAACTCCCCTGATCCTCAACCAGGCTCTTAAGCAAAAATGTAAATATGTTAATGACCGTAGCAGCCATCTGACCCGGGGTCTTAATTCCCTCGCTCAAAACAAGCTGTTTTTCTCCCGTGTCTTCCTTATATTAGATCAACACACCGCAAAATAAAGGCCCCACAGCAAAACCACAAGACAAAAATAAGGGGAGGGGGCATCACAAAATCTGATGAAAAGAGGACATTTGGTTGAGAAAAGAAAATGAAATCTCAAATTGTTCCTCCTCTTTAATTAAAGATATATCAGACACGGCTGAGTGAGCAAGTAGGGTGGAGGCTGGTGCTGCAGACAGACAATGGGTATCTTGGGAAAACTCAGACACTGCACAGAGCACAGCCAGCTGCTCCTCTCCCCATGGCAAACACCCCCGGGGCATCCGAGCAGCTGGAGAGTCAACAGCTGAGCTGGGCACAGCAGGAGCACTCTTGGGTGTGCTCAGGGATCACACCACTGCACGGATTTTGTCCCTGCAGCAGCAAGCAGCATCTCTGAGTTCTCTCCGTGTCACTTGACTTCCACTTGAGTGCTTCCACTGGGCACACACCTTCCTTTTCTGCCTTATTTCCCAGAGAGATCCCTGCTCTGCCAAGCCACCTTCTGCCTCTCCTGCTTGACTCCTGACACTGGGGAACCGCTGCTGCCCTGCCCTTAGGAGGTGATGTGTGAAAAGGGACCAGCACTCATGGACACTGGCACCCACAAAGACATTTTTCCAGGGAACCTTCCTCACTAATTCCCTGAGCAGCCTGAAGGATCCAGTCTGGTTTTCCCCCATTCTGGATTCCAGGTCTCATTCAGTCCAGGTTTTCCCAGCACTCAGAAGCAGAGTCTGTTTGTTTAAAAAAAACCAAACCAAACCAAACCAACCAAACCAAAATGTGGCAAGAGTACATGTAGCATTTACTGCTTTGATGAAGATTAAAGGAATGACAAGGCAGAAGATGAAAGTCTTATAATCCACATGAGAGGGCAAAAAACAGGGGCTGTTTTAGCAGGAGCTTCATCACTGCCTGGTGGTGATGATCTTCCAGGCAGCTCTGTGATCCTGTTCTCTACCAACAGTGGGAGGTGCAGGTGAGAGGATAAAACCCTGACCCAGCAGAGGAAGGCCAGTCAAAGGTTAAGTGCCTTCCAGTGCACACTGAAATCCAGCTGCTCACCTCATCTGAGCTGCCTGAACACGTGTGGTGGAACATCAGTGCTCCGGTGACGCAGCCTGGCCTCCCTGTAAATAATGAATTTACTCACCACTGCCCAGACTATATGAAGTGATTAAGGGCTGCCCTGCAGTACTTTTAGGGCATGTTAGATTGCTCTGACCTGAGGTGACCCCGGGGGCTGGAAGCACCCCCAGCTCTCAAAAGCCAGATTGCATTTAAGCACAGGGGATGTTCCCTGACCCAGCAGGGCTCCCAGGCAGGGCTGCTCCCTGGAAAGCTGCAGTGGGAGATGCCCAGGGAGCTCCCCAGCTCAGCACTCATCCCAGAGCAGATGGGCTGTCACCTGGATTTGGGTGAG